AATTTCTGTTTCTTACCCTGTTTTTACCCTGGGATTAGATAATTTCGTCTCTACCACCCCTAGTATTTCCAGTCACTTTTTCCTACTCCCCCCAGAAGTACATCGCTAGCCTTTTGGGCTGTCGGGCTATCAGATGGCTGGGTAGCCCTCTGAAACAGGTAGGCACACTCCAACAGAGAGAAGATGAACAGCCGGTCCCCCAGACTAGAGGTAGGCAAGTTACTTTAACTGGGTGAAGCCTCAGACTTTCTGGAGCTGGCGGTAGTAGTGTTGGTTCATCTGACAGAGCTGGAATGTAGCGGTAGGGGAATGTGTGTCTGTCACGCTTAGAGGGGACTGCTAACCATGCTAAGAGCAGAATGTGTTCTTGGACAGTAGTGTTCTCCAGAGAAGAGGGGAGCAAGTGATCAGGTCAGGCCTGGAAGTTTGATTTAGAGCTGTCATTTAGCCCTTTTGACTGGGTGGTGAAGTTTAACAGCAAAAAATAACACTGCTGGTAAGCAAGTGATTTTACTGTGCTGCAGGACTTTATTTAATTTCCTCTTACCTTATTGCCTGTGTTATCACAGTGGAAATCTGAAGGGTCTTTGGATGTTGCTTTTCCCCTATTGTGTAGGAAAAGGCACAAACTTTTGAAAAAGAAGTCTTGTTTGCCACTTGCATCTGATAACCTGATGCAGCTTCCAAGTAGGCATCCTGGTTTATGTCACTTTTCTTTTAGTACTTTCATAAAAGGATGTGTAACGAGCCTTCCTCCCTCCTTACCTGGTAAGTTACAGTTAGGGTCTGTGACGAGCAAAAAATGGTTCGGTAATGTTAAGAGAATTTTGATGGAACTCGGATGGCTTGGAACTAAAGAAAAGTGTTAACATGCTTCCATCCTTACGTAATACCTGCAGGAAAATGGAATCATTATATACTCCATTTTCAAATTGGTTTGCTAGGTAAGAAAATTTATTATTGATGCTGAAAAAATTTTATCGACACAACTGTGTTCAAATTTTACCATGTCGTGAACAAATGTTCCCATTCAAGGAGAGAAAGAGCAAAGTAATGTGAGTTTGACCTTTTGTCCACAAATAGGTAAAGAAACCAAGTGGGAGAGTGTTCCAAGGCCTTTTTTTAGCTCTGTGAAGTGAAAAACCAGACCACCACCCCCCCCAAACCAGTCCTGATTGAAAACTGGCAAAAAGGCATAAATAATATGTTGACAGATGCAAACCCACTTTTACATCTTGTAGCTACTCAAAGAGCTGTTAGGTGTTACGGCTACAGAGATGTGTCTTTCATCGCAGAGTGCTTAAAGAGTTGGCATCACGAGATCTTTGGTTACTAATGTGACTGTGTAGAATTCCTACCTTGTTTTCGCTTGTCAGCGACATGTGGAACTGGTGTTTTTTCACCAGGTGTGTATTCAAGATGAGAATTGTGTCAACATCCCAATTTCCACATCTCAGTTTCTTCAGCCCAACAATCTCCCTTCCAAGTTGTAAATGCTGTTTTAGGATTGCTGTGTGTCCTTCCTGCTGTGCTTCCAGTTTTGTTCCTTACTTTGTAGTGCATGAGGGTCCTGCTCAAATTTTAGGAATGACTTAATGAAGTACCAGAATATTACAGTGTCATGTCATTAAATACCTCCAAGTTGTGAAGATGCAATCATGAAATTATTTTATTTCTTCTGCATGAGTGTTTCTTATGGATACTCATACTGATCAAGTATTTCTCTAGAGTTTCAGCTCTGTTTTGACTAAATTTCTGTAATGCTGTCATTTATTTCTCAGCCAAATTAGAGAGTACCAAAGGATATCTGTGGATCACTTAACCAGGAAGGAAAGGAGGAGTAAGTATATTCACTTACATTGAGAGCTGTAAAGTCCCCTTTTAATTTTTGCTGCAGCACATAAAGAATGGTTTCAGGAGCGCATAGCTAGCTCATCAGTTCTTGCAGAGGAAAGAATAAGCCTGAGGAATGTTGTCTATTAAAATATTTTTGCTGAGATAGTTTGAAACTTACCTGCCTAGAGAAACTGACTGGAAATACAATTTTACAGTACTACTCTTGCAGTAAAAATTGGCTTCAAGTTGAATTTTGATGGCATGTTTCCTTTCTTTGGGTTCAAACATGAATGAAAGACAATCTGTCAGTTGAAATAAATCTTTCTTTCAAGACCACCTGAGGCATCAGAGCCAAGTTCTCCATTATGACAACCCAGGCATTTTCTCCACATAGCTTTAATAAAAGGAGCAACAGTATTGCAAAGCGAATACAGTGAGAAGTTGGAAAATCAAACCAGTTATTCCTAAGTAATTGAGGCCTAACTTCAGAACTTGTTTCTATGGTTTAGATGCCAGTGAGAGTTGGAAAAGGTCTGCTTTACTTCAGTAGTAGTTTTTCACACGTTCTTTTTGTTTTAGAGAGGTACTAGAGTCACACTGTTCTCTAAATTTAAAGGAAAACATGTATCATGTTAGATATTCGTGACAACCTTTAATAATTTGTTAAATAGCAATGTAAGAAGTCACAAAGTCTATTCCTTAGAGGAAAAGCTAGCGCTTGTAGTGTTCCAGTTATGTAAAGATTAAAATGCAGACAAATAGTAAGTTTGCACAGCTATACCTGTAGATACAGCTGTTAGAAGACAACAAAGCTGTCAGATTATTTCAAACCACGATAGTCTTGATATACTCGAATTCCAGCGATGCAAATTCCAGTTCATGTGTGTTTAACTAGTAAATTTCTGTTACCAGTGCCATAAGATTAATTATCAGCAATTTAGGAGCCTCTCATGTAAGTGAGAAACAGGTTTGTTATGGTACCTGCCCGTAAGATTGCTGTAGTGACAGTCTTGAGTAATTGTCGTGGAGTGGAACAGAAATGTTGACTCTTTTTTTATAGGACAAAACAGTATTTCCAAAAGTTAGTATTTTGAAATTTGCTTTAATTTTAAGGCCACACACACTCAGGGATTCCTACTCCGTGTAAGGTTTTAACTGCTGTAGCCTTCATTGTGATTTAAGCTGGAACTGTTCAGAATCCAGTTTGTCAGACTGATCTGTATGCAGCCTTCTGTGTGATGTCCGAGCTGGCCCTCTGAGGGAAACTCACCGATACCCAGCTTTAACCAGCTGACATTTTTTGGAAGCATAAAGTTCTTCAGGGGATTGTATTGAGTGGGAGACAGATTTATTGCAGAGTCAGCAAGAAGGGGCAGAATTAGGTATTATGGTGTGCTCTCTAGGAGTCAGAATTCTGAATTCATGTTAGAATTGCTGAATGAAATGGAAAAGTAACAGAAAGCAGAATTTGGGGACATGCTTCCACATAGAGTTAAGCACAGAGTTTGAGACAGGGGCTTTTAAAAAAGCGCACTGTAGTTAAACAAAAACCTGAATAATTCAAACTAGATGATCACAAGTGATTTTTCTATATTGTTGTAGAGACAGACCGAACGAGTAAAACCTTGGACAGGTAACTGCGGTACAGTTGACACAGGAAGGTGGCACTCAAAAATGTTTACCTTTCCTCAAGCAAAAAACTGTAAGTGCGTAGTCTTGGAACGTGATGTTACCAGTCCTGTGTGCTCAATACCACAAGCAAATCCCAGTTGTATCAGGGCAAATTCTGTACAGCGGAGTAAAACTGTGCCAACCTTTGCTGCCAGATTTTGTAGACGATGCCACAGAAACTCGTCATAAAAAAAAAAATGTTTCACTTCCATGTAGCAGAGCAGCGTGCAGGAAAGTGGCAGCCTTGTAGTTTGGGATGAAAATAGCGATTTGTTTATTCCTTTGCAGTGAGAAACAGGTGTTTATAAAGATCTCTGCTGCAGTGTGTTCCTCATTTAGCATTTAAAGCTACAAGTTGTAAGTCACTATCTTTTCCTGTAGTTCTGTACACTAGCATTTGTATTGTGCTTCCTGTAATGTCAACTTTGAGAAGGTAACACCAAGTTATTTTTTTAAAGTACATTATGCAGAGGGTCAAAGTGTGTTTTGCACACATTGCCATGCAGCCCTCATTTAATAAATCAGCTACAAATGTTAACCAGTGAGGAAGTGATGGGCGTCAGGTACTCTGTTTTTGCTAGGAAGATCCGACGTGGCGTGGTTATCGCCCTTAGCAGGTGGGATGACCAGATGGATAGATCCTGTAACAGAAACTTGTCAATTACTCGTTCCCTGAAGGGGTGTGTATGTTGCACAATGAGCTAAGCTCTGTGTGCTGCGGCTTCATGTCCTTTCCCATTAAAGTGAAGGAGTTTAGAAGGCAGGGGGGTTCACTCTGAACACGGGAAGGTCCTCCTCACTCTTTATTAGTGTCTTCCATTAGACATAAACCATTGACCAAGTCTGAGACTAAGACTGGATCCAGCTGCACCTGAGCTCCAGAAGGGGTTTAGAAAGCAAGGGGGGTCCACTCTGAACCGTGTGACTCAGCGGGAGAGGCCTCCTTACTCTGTGCATCTCGGGTCTCTGTACAAATCCTTCTAGCTCGATAGTAAGTTTTCTTTGTGTGTTTCTTCCTTGCCGTAATTAATTAGGTGACCCTTGCCATCAAACTTGCTGAACCTTGTCAAACCACTGGGAAACTTTGTTAAATTCCATCAAATTTATTGACCTCTGTCAAATTATTATTTTTACCTCAATATAACATACTGCTGCTTCTCTCTTGAGTGAGGTGCATTCCACTCATCTGCAGCAAGAAGGTATCAAAATTGCAGTTTTCAGCCTTAATCAGGTCTACCATTTTGTGACAGCAAGGCAGGGTTCTCCAGTTTCCAGGAACAACAGAAAGCAAACAGGTTTTTTTCCTTAAGGCTGCCCTAGTGGAGATGCACGCCTTTTCCCAGTGCAGCCTGTGCAAAACGTACTAGCATTTCTTTGGACTTCAGTCAGAATGCAGGACAGTAGCCACAGCTCATGGAAGCAATGCTACCCAAAAGGAGAGTGGAAGTGAAGTAAAATACCCACAGTGACTGAGTTGATAAAAGTTGTTGCACTTAAAGTTGAACCAATTTTCTTGATGCTTTGTCAAGCATCAACTTCCGTTCTGGCTTACTGTCTGGAATCATGTTAGCACTTCTTTCTGCACTCAGCATTACTGAGGGACGTTTTCCCCTGACTCTCTCTAGGCCAGTTTGTGTTATGTTCCGGCAGAAATCCACGTGGAGCGTTTGCAGTGATCCCCCATAGAGAGTCACTGCTTCCAGGGTCTGGTCAGTGATCCGCACACAGTTTTCCAGCTTGAGTGTCTTGAGGTTTGGGCAGTTCTTGAGAAGCAGCAAGATGCAATCGTCTGTAACATGGCCGCATCCAGAGAGGGTCAGAGAGAGCAGGTTTGGACATCTGAAAACATGATCATTACAGGTGAGATGAGGGGAAAAAAAGTAATAGAGCTTGGAGAAGCTAGTATCATCAAGAATAAATATGAAAGTTAGAAAAATGGTTCCATCAGGAGGGGCAAGAATACCTGCGTAGGTGGGGACACATGTAGATCTTAATGCTTAGCTTTACTAATTGCAAATCTTACCTGCTTTGCTTTTTCTGTCGGTAGTGACAGCTATGGCTCAGTTGCCATAGAGGAGGAGGAGGGCACGCGATGCCTACTGAAGTTGCAGATGCAGTTTTCTAAAGGAGTTGCATGGTGCTGCGATTCTCCAAGTACAGTGAATGAAGACCCAGTAGAGAGGAGAGTCAAGTCAGGGTGAATTTGAGGGCAACGGAGTGAAGAAGCTGCCATGTAGGCATGCTGAGGATGGGCAAGTAAGACACTTCCACTCTTGATTTTATGGGGATTAGTGCATGTGTCAGCTCCTTGGAGTTACTGAACAGGTGCCAGCTACTGCCTAAGAGTGGTGATGTTTGAAACCCACACAACTCTTAAGCCTTCCTTCAAATCACTGAAACTCTGCTGTGTGGTTTCTGGCGCCCACCTCTCCCCAGGGAGCAGCAGTGCAGCTATCCATCTGTTAAGCTAAATGCAGCGTCATGTTTCTCTGTTAGCACAGGACCTCTTCAGGCTCTGTTGTTGCAGGGAAAAATGATTACAGCAATGCCAATGTTGATCTTGTGAGACCTCCGGACAGAACAGTTAGCCTGGCTCCCTCCTGTACGAACATTTCAGTGTCCGTAAATCTTCCATATAACGATTTGTGCTTACAGCCCGTATCGGCATTTTAGGTGTACAGCAGCCCTGGGGGAAAACAAGGGGCTCTGCCGTCACTGCAGCATGTTCTTTTGTCCTTAAAAAGTGGTACACAGTATGTTCCTCTTGCTCTACACCCCACCCCATCCCAGCTGCTGCTTGGCTTCACCTTTTGAGCAGAGAGCATGTCAGCTGCATGATTTTTTTTTTTTTTTACACACTTTTCCTTTATACTTATGAACACTTAGAAAAATAAATGTTTTTAAAGGAGGCAAGGTCAAGAAAGGCTCCAACCTGCCATTTTTTGTGGCTTCCTCGGCAGAATAAAGTACTCCAGACTCTGGGAGAAAAGCTGTGGATTTGTTTAACTTGCATTTTTCATTGCATAGAGTGCTAGGTCTTTTGTTCCGATGGAAAGATTTTCAATGGGTAGCCACCAAAAAAAAGGAAAAAAGGGCAAGAAGGTGTCTGAGGAAGAACAGATGAGGTGGGAGAGGGGATGAGGGTCAATATAAACTATCATTTGTGACAGTTCAGCTTAACGTGTGGAAACAAATCTCTGTAAGGCTGAAAGGCATTTGCTGCAATTTTATAGACTTGGAGATTGCTTGCTACCCAGGCTTTGCTTTGAATTTTGTACAGCAACCAGTTTGGGATTACAGCTTCTGCAGAGGAGAAAGGCACTTAAATGTTACACCATCTCTGCAGAGCTGTGGTCTTGCATCCTCTTTCTGAATCCTAATTTGTGATGGCAAAAAAAAAAAAAAGGAAATAGTTAAGTGTGGCCTCGTGGGAGACATTCCAGTGCCCAAATGAGAGCATAGTTCCTGCTGCAGCCTCCTTTGTAGGCACAGATTTGCTTCCTAGTGATCCTTTGCTTATTAATCCAAATTTTTCATCAGTTGTCCTAGAACAGTTACTTCTGAAATTTTGTACTTGCAACTTCAATGTTCTGGTTTGAACCGACATTGCAGAACCTTGCACTGGTGCTGGTTCTCACCCAGACACTGGGTCCTGGCAGTATCCTGCAAGTTTTTTAAATCGTTAACTTCCAAACGGTACTTCCTGCGTTGTGGCACAAAGCGGAGGGAAGGCTGGCTGCGGCCCAAAGGTGTGCCAGGTCACCGACATGGCCCTTGCAGCTCTAATCTAGGACCACAGCCATCCTCGATGTGGCTAAAGCTCTAGGATTGGCCCTACCCTGAGCTGCTGCTTCTCATAGAATTTAACTGTTTATTCTTACAGCTACTCTGTAGCAGTAAAGCTGTTAAAAGAAAGGGCGTGCACCCAGAGCAGCTTTTCCGTAGTGGTGGTTTTTTCTTTTAGTGTAGTTTATAAAAAGCTTAGGTAAGAGTTAAATTCCAGTATAAAAGTAGTATTTCTTAGAATGAAACAAATTTGGTGTTTAGTAACATGTTTAATGAACTCAATTTTCTTATGACATATTTCACTATTTGAAATCACGTCTTTCCTTTAGCCCCCTCCCCCCAGGACCTGCTTTGCACTGCCAGAACATTACGTTTCAGTTCAGCAGCAATTTAGGAGGCAGGAGTCCACTTGCCTACGTTAATTATTCATTTAAAAAAAAAAAAAAAAAGGCTTAAGGAAAGTCAGTATGAAGTATAGCCTAGTTATAGCCTAGTGCCACTGTAAAACCAACTTAACACTATATTGAAACTGCAAAGTCAAAGCACTCACGTACTTAATGCTCCATTTCAGGCAGGATATATGGGGTAAATACCTCTCAATTGTCTCATTTCAAGGCAGTTAACCTTTAAGTAGACATAGATTTTTCACACCCAAAGAACATACCTGTTGCACACTTCTAGTAAAAAATCATTGACAGTGTTTTCATGCCTGTTACAGAAGTCTTTCTGGAAATTGTTTTTCATCCAGTCCTCAATGTTACACACCTTGACTCTCTCTGAATACCAGCAGATGGATAAGTATTTTAGAGCAGGTCCCAGGAGAAAATTATCCTTCTTTAGTTCCGCTGGAGAATGAAAGTTCAACAAAGACCACAGTAAAGGATCCTGAAACACTTCTAGCAACTTGTGACATGTTTTTGCTAAACTTCTCCTACTATTCCTGTCCAGAAAAGAAAATAGATGTAAAAGGCATTCCCGATTCAGCTGGGTTATATGCATAGTCCCTCAAAGCGTGTTAGAAAGAAGACAGTCTCCTGCCCTTGTGGAGTAACAGCTGTGCTGGAGGGGGCTCAGCAGTGCCAGAAGGCTGTTGCACATATATGGTTATGGAATGGTGTTTATTTTTGGCGAACAACTGGTGCAGAAGCTACGAGCGGGGAAAGGAAGAGAAACACATGCATGTGTGAACCTCTTGTTCTGTTTCTACAAGGGAATGGAATGGGCAGGCAGAAGAGCAGCACTTGACTTTCATGAAATGTTTCCTTAAAAGGGCTTTTTCCTTCTCGGCACTTGTGAAGTGCAGCAAAGGACTTGTGCTGAGTTATGGAACTGGGGGGGGTGGGGAGTGTAGCTACAGCTGCAAGGAGCAGCTTTGCCAGCCTCTGCAGGGTGGAGGATTTGGCTTTTTGAGCAGAAGTTTCTTTTTGCAACTTACAAAAATTTCAGCATTGGTTTTTCTAAGGTTGCACTTTTGCTTCATGTTCAAGGAGTGTTAATACTGGATAATGAACTTTCACAAACAGCTTGTAACATGAATTGAAAAATTCCGTATGCTTTACAACGTGTGCACACATGTGTCTGCAGCTTCAATTTACAAGCCTCCACCTTAGGGCCAGTTTCCTCCCCACTGATATTTGAATAAAACAAAGGCAGCCCTTTCCCCACCTGCATGAGGACAGTAAGGACAGGCAGGAAGACACACATGTATTTAGCTGCTTGGAGGCTTGTGCTTTTAATAGATGTCTTCAAGGAGCTTGAGTTTTACAACTTTTCTAGTGTAGGTTTTTGGGTTTGCAGGTTTAGTTCTGTTACTGTAGATGTGGCAGTTGTGGTGGGAAAAGGATATATAGAGTTAGTTTTAGGAATAAAAGTATTCGTTTTCCAATAACGAGAGAAACTCTAGCAGAAAGCCTCTCTAGGGCCCTTCCAGAGGAAAAATAAAGCTACAGCAAGCAGCAGGTTGGAACTAAAAGTAACAATGAACAGTACTTCAACTTTCATGTTTGTGAAACAAAAATGCTTGAGATTAAGACAGTTTATGCTCATCTTCTGTCTGGTGTAAATACAGGAAAATAATACATTCAACTACTTCATAGATGCTAATATCAAAACAGCCCTGCAGGAATTTTTCCAGTGGTCTGCACATTTTTAGTAGCTGGGAGACTTTATGTAACTCTGCATTTTAATTGCATTTGTTTCAATATATGGCAGGGTTGAGTGGGACCAAAGTTTCCTTTTTACCCTGAGCATACAGTGTGAAATGCTCTGAAAAACAAGATTTGACATTCATTTGCAGGCTGCAACAATTATTTTAGCTTCTTAACTGTGCTTGAGTAAGGAGTGTGCTTACCCACAGTGACTGAACAACCGCAGCAACTGTGGGTCTGCTTAGAGTTAGCAATTTTCTATTTACTGTACGTTGTGCTTAACAGGTGCCAGTCTTTTTGGTCCTGTAGCCTTTGTCATTTAGTATTTTCCCTGAAATAAGGAGAAGGTTCCTGGTCCCTCCCGCCCCCAGCAGGCTATGGCCAGTGGCAGGAGTACTTTATGAAGCCACAGAAGGGACAAGAAGAGATGATTTCACATACCAGGTAAGCCAGTCACTGGCTAACGGCAGCTTAAAGGGTGTGCCAGCAGTTGTGGTTTGTCATTCTCCCACAAGCACTTTCAACTCTTGCTCTATCCCTTCAACCTTTTCAGAACTTACCTTCATTTTTGAGCAGATTTAAATAGCTGAGACTGCTCAGAGTTGTGATACACACAGGAATATTATTTATTAAAAAAGAAAAACAAAACAAAACACAAAAACCCAACAACAAGCAAGCAAACTTGAGTGACAAGGTTACCAGTGCTAGGATAGACTCTTACCACACAGAGGACACACACCACAATCTGACATAAAAATTAATAGCTGCGGGTGACAAGGCCCTTTGAAATTGAATGGCAGGTCCTCTTTGGGTTTAGATACGGAGTTTTGGTAGAGGTGTTTGTTAAATAGTGGGAACGTTTTCATTTGCTTTATTTCGTTTTCCTCAGAACAAGGTAAAATACTCTGCGCCATCTGTGTTCAAAGGATTTACACTAGTGATAGTCTGCAAGCCTGTAGAAGGACAAGAGGAGCTTCATTTTCTAAGGAAAGGAGACACTTTAATGGCACATTTTCCATAAACATACTGTGTGAATGAGATATAATTCACATTCAACCTGGAAATGCTCCAGAAACACACAAGATGAGCACACTCGGTAATCCTCACTGAAAATTACACACTAGATTTTAATGGTAAACAATTACAACTATGGCACTACAGTACTTGAGGATATCCTAAAGCACATTGGAATCAATTTTCAAGGTGCCGATTACCTCATCAGTAAGACACAGACACATCAGTAATGAAACAATGTTGGGGAAACTTTCCAACACCATGTGTTACACTTCTCCATCGATTTCGTAAAATCCTCATAAATGGCCTCCTGCTTTCGACACAAGTCCACTGTCCCTGCCTGTCTGAAAGTTTTGAATTCTCCTCTCACGCTGACCTCCGGTACCACCTGGAAAGCGCTGCTGACTGCACAATGAGGAGCTCTGCTTGCTTTCAAGTCAGTGCCTCAGAGTTTCGCATAATGCTGCACTTAACAGCTATACAACACACTAAAGCAGAAGTCTTCTGAGAGCTGGACAATTTGCATTTTTGTTTTACGTAAATCTTGCCTCCAGTTGTGTACTTGGCTAAACAATTACTAACAAAAGGACAACCTTTGAGCAGACAAATTTTGGTGAAAAATACGCAAGTTTTTGAACTGTAGAGAGCAGTTGTTGCTTGCAGAGCAGTCACAAGCAAGAAAAAAAATTCTTGCCAGTTAGTGTGTACCATGCTCAGCAGTAAGTAGAAAAGAAACATTTGGCTTAAATGAAATGAGCTCTCCCCCCTCCCACAAGCTAGTAGATAAATATAGGCTATACAAGTAAGGTTAAAAATGTAATACTAGGCCAGGTGCAGTATGTGTTACTGGTTCAGTGCTCAGTTACTTTTTTTTTCTGACACCACACTGAATAGAATACAGTGGATAAGCAAAGTTCTCCACCAGGAAGAGAAATACTTGTGTTGCCACAACAAACTGTTCGTACTGTCCATCTGGGTTTGCAGTGGGAGAAAGTTAAATTAGGAAAGGATTTACAGTGTGCTTGTTCCAGCAAAGCACATGGCTGAGTCCTCCTTAGCGCCACCTGCCGCAAGAACAAGCCTGATGCGATTGCATTGTGTTCCCATGGCCGTGTCCGAAACAATCATGCTGGACAGACGCCATCGCCCAAGACTGTAATGTTACTGAAAGGAAATCCTGAAGTGAGAACATAACTCTGACCCAGGAAATGAACTGGAGAAGTAGAAGCTGCTTAAAGTAAGTGAATGTTGCTGAAGATTACAAATTTAAGTTTCTAAAAATACAGAAAGGCACATTTACATCACCAGTTTGCAAGAACACTGCAAACACCTGACTGCTGTGAGTTGAACTGCTTCTGGCCCATAGCTAGTTGTGTATTTTAGGCTTTTTAGGCTCAAAACTAAAATTCTAAAGCCATCCAGTCCAAGTAGCATGCAGACAAAACACAGCTATAGATGGAATCTGCTGAGCTCCCCAGCTGACTGCGAGCAGTAAGGCTGCCCTTCACTGTAATAGGGTGGGAAGGTCCTTCACTGGCCCCGCACGCTTTTTTCTGCCTGCATGAATGGGAACGGCTACCTGTTCTGCTTAGAAGGAAGGCTCTGGCTGCAAGAAATGGAGAAATAGTAGGTGACAAACTATCTACAATTTAAAGCAATTAATAGTTCTATTTATTGTTCAACCTCAGTAAAATAAGACATCCTTATATATGTCACTTTTAATGTATCAAATCATAATCACGATAGCTTTTAACTAGTCTACAGTTTCCATATGCATACACCCTTAGCAATGCTGAATGCTTTCTGCGGTTTTTGCATTAAGACAATTTCCCTCTTTCCTGGTTTAAGATGCTGTGGAAAAACTAGGAAGAACGACATTTTAAGTCGGTGCACAGCTAGCAGGTAGCCACAGCAAGGAAATCAGCGTGGACTCCGTGTGCGCCAAGCTGAGCTATGGTACAGTCTGTGGGAAAATGTTCACTGGGTACTACAATGTATTTCAGAAGCCTGAACTAAAAAGGGTAATTGCATTTTACTTGAGTTCTTGGCTGTTTCCAGACTACTAAATTCTACTGTTTTCACAACTAAAAAGCGCTGTTTGATTATGGGACTCTACATTAAGTGAATTCTACTCTTACTACCACGCTTTTGAGATTTTAGGAGCGTCCTGTTCCTTGCTAAGCACGTGGGGCCTAGCTAGAAAGGGTGGGCTCAGGGAAGAGAACTGAAATGTAGCATTTGTCAAATTTCAGATTTTTTTTTGGACTCCTGGTTTTTGCAATATTGGTTTTCCTGTCCACCTTTTTTACTCTCCAGAACAGCAGTACAGCTAAAATTCTTTCTTCTTTTTTTTTTTTTTTTTTTAAAACCAGAAGCCTTTCTCTATTACACAGGCAAGTTTTAGAAATTGTACCATGCCTCCAGTGTTCGTGTAGAGACTGAATAAGGATCCCACACTGGGCCAGTGCCTGAGTCTGCTCCAGTCAAGGAGCAGCGGTGGCTCCTCATCCCCGGCAGGCAGACTGTGCGGTGAAAGGGAGCACCCCCCTTTGGTGTGCATTTGCACTGAGAAAACAACTGACAATTGTCACACAAAGCATCTGGAACACCATCTGCTTCCTCTCAGTTTTAGGTGAACTGCAGGCATTTAGTGGACAGGAGCAACATTTGGACCTAAGGCTGTTCTCACAAACCCAGACTTTGGGGCTGTACTCCCAGTTCCCACCAGGAAGGGGGGGGGATTCAGATCCCATTGCCAGGAAGTCTCAGGCAAGTGAGTGTTCACAATCCAATTTCAGGATGATGGTCTAAAACAAGAGATGTCTAAGGCAATTCAGGTTCAGTTAAAAAATAAATCTCAACACAATTTAGACAGGTATATATTTTAAGATTATTTTTTTTAAATTCGAAGGGGGGGAAGGGCAGAGCATATGTGAGGAATACTTGAATTCAACTGCAGTATTGATACAATTGAACCAACTATTTACAATGATTCCTGAAAGTCAGCAGCCTGAATACACACCAACATAGCAGCAATTACCTGGTCTATTTAATGATGCCACATCTCCTCTCTTCTGCAGACAAAGAATGATTGTTCAGAGGTCACTATTTAGTTTCTTGCACGAGGGAAAATAGTTCATGCAAACAATTCCTTGATTTAAAGAGATTAAATCATATCTATGTAACAGCTGTGAGAACAGCATGAAGTTGTATTGCTCTTCATAATCAGAAGCACATTTATCTTGCTTGTAAGAACAGAAAGCTCCTCTGATGTAAATGTGCCTTTAGAAAGTGAGAACTGAAAACATTAATATAAAAAAGTCAAATAACTAAGTATTTCATGAAACTATATATATAAAAATTGAGTTATCACAACTAAAGCAGCAAATCAAAATCTGCTGAGGTTTTCTGGTATAACTAAAAAAAAAAGTTAGTTTCTGTCCAAGTTCAGTAAGTCAAATGCTACCATTGACACAACAAAACTAAAACCCACAAGAGGAAATTGAAAAGTGCACAATGAAATTAATAGTCTTGGATCAAGTATTTATGGAAAAATGGAAATGTTTTGTCCGGTGGACTTGATAAGCAAGGATTTAAAGGAGGTATTAAAGTTTATCTGATCCAGATTTGGCTTGCCGTTCCACGTAGAAGAGGATGTAGGCCTTGGCCTTTACCACAGTCTCCTCGTCGGTCAAAGTTACAGTACTGTCATTAAAATGGAACCAACGGCCTTCGTGAGCTGCGTATGCGGTGTAATGTCCAGAGCCAACGCTGTCAGCAGGGGAGGCGGGGAAAGAAAGGACAATCAGAAGGAGACAGACCACTTCATTCTCTGATGCATTTTCTAATAGGCCTAAGAGACTTCCAGGAACCAGAGGAAGAAAGGAACTGACAGGCCTCCACAGCAGTTGGTAAGATGCTTCCCTTCTTAATCTGTGGGGCTCAAAGTTCTCCAAATTCACATTTTAAGTTACATAAAATAATCACTTTCTGGGATGGGTTGAAAGTTTTTTTGATACGAACTTCTTATTAGCATCCCATAGGTTTTGTGTGAGCAAGGCTTCTTGCAACACTGAACTTGCATGTTTGCCTACATCAAAATCAAGCCTATTAGCTGTTACTCAAGTGTTAGCTATAAAAATTTCACTATGCTCAATTTTCAGAAATCTTCTCTATTTCGGTCTAGAGAGACTCACATGAGCTAAATATAATCGAAAGCACAGCAAAAGTAATCCAGAATCCCAAGAAGAAAATTTTTTTAGTTCATCTTAAGCAGATCCACATCTTACAGCCGTATTTCTTAACTCTAACACACCAGAACTACACACCCATCAACCACTATCCTCCCACCCCCAGGTCAGGCCCTTAAACGTTGTAACACCCAGTCCATGTTTCAGCCATCTATTCCATTCTCATCGTGACCAGCTTTCCTTTGCTGTCCACGTAGTTTTCCTACAACTTTGAAGCACCAGCCAGATCAAGGGCTGCCTTTAGTAGTCAAACCCTTTTAAGACCATTCCTCTAGAAAAAGCAAAAGGAGGGGCTTTCTGGACAGAACTTTTGGGTTTGTATCTTTGAATTAAATTCAGGTATCAGCAAGGTTTTGATTCATGGGGTTTAGTTTCTTTAAGAAAGCTCCTTTCACAGCTCATGCCCATACAGTGATTGCCTAAGCAAAAACACATTTCTCTCAGCATAAAAGTTGTCTTGTCCCTACTACTGTTACTCTAAACAGATCTGTCCAGGGCTGTGAAAAGGGAAAAACAGAAACCCAAAACAAAACACACCCAGCAACTCTGTTTGAAATACAGACACTGGCCACCTTGCGGCCTGCCTATTAGTGTTCACTCCCATAAGAGAGAAGGTAAACAATACAGGATAACAGCTTTCGCTGTGCTAAACATGCACACACACTCTTTTTTGGCATAAATGTACATGTGCCTTTCAAAGAGAATGAAAGAGGAAAAAATATTTCTGCTCTGTACTAAGAATTTCAAAATGAGACGTTAACTTCTGGAAGGCCCCTTGATTCACTCTGTTGGTTTAGGGCTTTCCACTCCTAGAGGAACTAGGTATTTTCCTTGCGTCTCGCACTCCTCGTCATTGCCCCCAAAGCCTGCCAGCAGGCATTCACAGGAGTAACTGTCTAGCGCTCTCTGAAGTTCATTTAGCTTAGTTCCATGTAACTTTAAAAATTACTGCTTATTTCCACCAGGAAAAATACAGACATTCACTAGGGACAGAAAAACCTTAATTAACTCTGCACATACTTCAGCAGGGAGAAGGTGTCTGCCAAGAAGCTGGCTTACTCTGGGTACTCACCCTGAACCATGATGCACAACAACAGCCGCGAGGTCATACAGGCAGCTTTCTGGGCCACTGTTTTCAGGCTGTGGTTAAAAAGACAGAAAACTCTTCAAATCTCAATAGCACCTAATATAATTTGTAATCAAGACATCTGTCACGGAACAAATTCCTACGGAGAGTAGTGGTGAGTGTTCATACCTCTAACAAGTAGCATTTCATGTCTAGGCCTCGTAAGGGAAACTCAACATATGTATCAACCTTGTTTCTCAGATATGCTGTCCAGTGAAATCGTTTCAAGTGTAAGCATAGCACCTGCAGGATTAAAACAAAGAAAAGGCAGCTGCGTTACCAGGAGAGGTTGAACATAATGCTAGACATCTGCAATGGCCTGTGGGAGGGTTCCGTGTTGGTCTACCAACGGTTGAGTCATTACTTCCTTTGACATATTGTCACACTGTTACTTTTCATGCTCACACAAACCTTTGGTAGTTTCTGAATCCAGAATTTTTTGGTGGACTTCTGTTTCTTTTTGCACTTGTGACACATATACAGCTCTGTCTCATCAAGTTCTTCCAGGTCTGTAAAACTGCGAAGACAATCTAAAAAAGAACAAGATACAAAAAAACAAAACACCCACACTAAGAAAGCTGATCCAAGGTGACATCAAGTGATTTTTTATAACATGAAATAAAACAAATACAGCCATATAGAGGAGGTGGGCATATCTGTTGCAGTCATTCTAGTTATCACATATATTTGTGCAGCAAAAAGCTGCGTAATAATGTGTTTAAATACAGTAACATGTTGTAACATGCAGCATTCTCTGTTCCTGAAAACACTGTTCAAGACAAAAAAGGCATTCGTGCAATCTCCCATCTTTCCAACAAGATTCCGTCCAATATTCAGCACAACTATTTTCAAAGGAAACAAAATTACTTTCTAGCAAAGAAGATTCAACTTTTAAAGGTGATTTGGTTTAGGTACAAAGTGAACAGAGAAAATAATGTGGGTTTGATTAACAGTTCACTAGCTGCAGCAAGAATACTCACAAATCTGTAAAAACTAACATCCTTTACAATAAGGTCAATAACCTCACTACTGCCCAACTTCACAGAACTGTATTTTGATGAAAAAGCAGAACACCCAAAAGCCAGCCTTACTGTGCGCAAAAGGCACAGACTTCTAAGCACAGAGCCTTAGCAAATGCCAGGAGGGAACACTGCAGATGAGTGGTGGCTGGAAAGACTGGAGTGCATTAGAAATACTCTGACTACAAAGAAAAATCTCTGCTGGAACCCTCCCTGGACCTCCTGAAGTACTTCTCAGCCCCAGTTTCTCACAGTAGTGTGCCAATACACAGTGACTGGGGTAAAACCTGCATGGAAAATTTTTTTGGCACCTTCTAGCATAAAATCTCATAAAATGAGACAGCACATGGCACCAAGTCACGCCATCAGTGAAAGCCTGGCTCCTGTGGAACAGACACTGTGACGAGTGTATACGCTCAGTCCTGGTAACGATTTCATTATCCAAGCACTCTTACCTCGTAGTGTGCACATTGGTCCACTTTCTTGATTTTTAGTACGTTTATTTCTGAACTGACTTGGAATATCTAGTGAAAGGTCTAGAAAAACAAAGACAAAAACAAAACAGGGCTGAATAAAACAATGCCTAATCTTTTCAGGCCAAAACTCTGGTTCAGTCACGTGACATCTAAATATATCAAGCTCTGGATTTATTTTTCTCCTTAAGTCACTCGGCATTTTTAAAGCAAGAGGCACCTTACCTAGGAATGGGTCAAACTTTCTAGATTCAGTCCCACATATTAGGCAGTTGACTTCATTTTGAAGAATGCCTCCAAAAATCGCTGTGACAACAGTAGACGCTCCATTTCTAGACAAACCACATCAGAGCAGTACAGTCAGTCAGAAAGTCTCAGCTGAATTTTCCATACCTGTTACATGTTCACGGCTTGCTTACGGCTGCTGCTCCTTCTAGGCTGAGCAGTTTTGTCCGCGTGTAACCAACAGCCACTGCGTTCACCAGGCACTTCACTCACCCCAGAACTGCAGCATGCAAGTAGCTCACTGCTATAATACTTCTGCTGTATCCTGTACCTCAGGAAAGTGTGCGCTGCACATGCTCCGAGCAGATGCTCACCATGTCAGTGTTGAAAGCACGCTGGTGGATTGCTTCTCTGTAGCAGGAGTGCTGACAATGCTCACAATAGCACAGTATTTTAACCCTGTAATTAAGGCTGTTTCTGAAACAATTCTTCCCTCATAAGTAGCTCAAGCATCTTTTTGTTTTAGTTCTACACCCTTTGTTACAAGTCATTTTGTCTTCTTAAAGCTTATTTCTGCACTTCACTTCCGACGACAGCCTAAGTTGCATTAAGATACTATAAACAACATGCATCATCATCATAATTTTCTATGCTTCCTTTACTCTTAGTCTTTTTAGCAGATTATGTAATTCCCTTACTTCCCATAGTCCAATTAAAAAAGTTGTTATATTATTATACAACTTTTACACTTGCTAGTCCGTGCTTGCAGAGCTGACGCTACTAGCCTGCAGAAACCTGTGTTCCTTACCTGCACGCCACCTCCATCTTTACAGTTAATTTGAATGCTTCTTGTTGAGCGGAAGGAAATGGCTGCCCAAATAAACTGGCGCTGAAGAGGGGAGCCTTCACAGCGTATTTGTTACTTTACCGTAGGCATTTCAGTGTATGTGACCTTAATTTGCCCTTGACAGAAGGCAGCTTACTCCACCTCACCATCCATTTGAACAGCCATTCTCAAGACAAATTTACAGTAGGTACGTGAATGCAGTTTAAATTCTCCTTGGGTTTTGACATTCAGAATGTGGACAGAATAAAGTTGGTTTACTTTTCAAATACACTTCAATTCTAAGGACACTTAAGATTCTTTTGTGGGATTTTTAAGCATCAGCAAAGCAACATAAATGTGGTAGAGCGTGCAGTCCAAACTCTCGGCGTTCCCTAATGAAGCATCTATAAAATCCTGCATCTCTCAGACCTGCTTACTATGTATGCCCTGGTCAGTGTAGGCAGGGAAAACTCACTCAACTCTTTCTTACATAGGGAATCCAAGGACTTAGGGACTACATGTGCAGGCTGAACTGACATAACAGTCCTTCCCGAAGCAAATTAAAGTGTTTTCTCTCTGCGACAGTTTCAGTCGAAGAGAAAACACACCTGGGACAGAATTCAGAAACAACAGTATTTTGAGAAGTACAGAATAAGGAGTGAAACACATGGGCTACCTCTGTTTCAAGATACCCAGTAACATGAAAATCAAATTACCAAGAAAAAAAGCAACAACTTTAACTGTCAAGGGACATGCAAATAGAGCAAAATCATCTGCAGGAAAACTGACTTCGAACGGTAACTGCATTGCTCACTCGTTAATCCAGGAGGTCTGCTGACAATTTAAACCTACAAATACTTGGCCAACTTTTCTGCTCCAGCGCCACTCAGGCCATCTATCACCCTAAGGCGACGAGATTGTCTGAAGAGAAGAAAGAATTCTATATGGGTATAGAATAGAAAATACAGAGTTCTTTTTATTTCTGAAAGACTAAGTAATGAATGAAAATGTGTTTATAACTTAGCCTATATGCTCATTCACACATATGAAAAACGCTGCAACAAGACACTTGTTCTTTTCTGAAAGGAAGCACATCCTACAGGATGCTAATCCTTTATAACCTGCAGCTTTGTAATCTGTAACATTACAGGGGCGCTAAAGAAAACTTAAACAAGGAACTGTGAATGTGAAATTTTAGAGCCACCGCACACAGACCCATACAAAGGCATTAAGGTTTTGAAGAAATTAAAAACACTTCTTACATGCAACACTTGTTGCTTGCGGACAGGCCAGAATTTTCTTGCAAAATGACTGAACGTGAAACACCATTGAAGCCACCCTGGAGTTCCAGGTGTAGATGGTCCAAAAGGTAACGCATGAACTCGTGGGCATCCTGTTGCTGGTATCCCCTTAAGAGAAAAGGAAACAACAGCAACAAATCACCAAACATACAGGTTGCTTTAGTGCCAACACACAGGGTCACAGGACAGAACCTTTACTTGTTGAATAATACTGAGCAGGCTTTACAGAGACATACATGTTTTGTACCAAGAAAGTTTTCTCAGCCCTGGGGTAAGATTCAGAAGACAGACACCACAAAACGTACTCCAAGTCCGTATTTCTGAGTGGTTTTCATTCAGCCACTGGTGCCACTCATGCCACTCACTTTGGCAGTTCCAGATGTTTGCTTGCCCATTTGTTCCCCTCCCCACCAAAGCCAGGAATTTAATCTTTGGGTTTGTTTTCCATATGGATCCTTCACTAACAATATGAAGTCCAAAACAGTCAGGATGAAAGAGAGACTTCCTCTTCCAGCGTAAGACCTATAGCCACGCTCAGAATTACACACCTCCCCTGCATAACCCGCACGCATTTGTTGGGAGAGGGAAGTCATGGTGGGGTATCCAGAGCATCTCTGGAGCATTTGGATTTGGTAGGATAGGGCTCCAGTCTCAGGTGTGTCATGCTGTCAGCAGCAACGCTGCTCAAAGAGCCACCGTTATTATTTCACCACTAACAAACCTAATCAAAGGGAACCGAGAAGCCAGCAGGGTAAAATATGCCTTTAAAGTTATTTAAGCTAAATCATGCATCAAATTTAACAAACAACTGCTATTCATTTGCTGTAAGATGTATACTGAGATGAAGTAGGAAAGCATATGCAGTGAAACAGTGAAAGTTTTGTGCCACACCGACATAGTTATGTGCAAGTCTTTGTAGGCCAAGTTACAAAACCCCTACATAGCAGAGCTGCCTTTCCCTCTTCCTCTTGTCCGTTCTTTAAAGCTGCTTTACCATGCCTCCTCTGCCCCTTTTCCTCCTCACTACTCCGTCTAAGTATTGGCAGTAACGGTCACATCGGAATGTCTGGGAAGAACAACACAGGTGGGAGGACTGTAGGACTCACGGCACAGTACCCCGAGCTGGAGAGAAATGAGAACAGACTCGGTGCAGCAGAAGTAGGTGATGTGAGGCTGATGTGCTTTGTGAGGAACGTAAGCGTGTCCTACAAAAGTATTGCTAGGAGGTAACAAAATAAAAGTGAAATAAAACCTTTGTGTCTTGTAGCATTACAATGTTTTCTTCCAAAGTAGCAGCTTTAAAAGAAATCACTGAGTTTGTACGTAGATCTTACAGCAACCTGAAAACCAGCAACAGCACTAGCTACCTTCTACAACAAAAAAACTTGCACACAGAAACACTGCTGTGCTGCAACAGGCCAGAGTCCTGTACAGCCAAAAATAGGACTTACTCTCCCAGAGTTGCAAAATAATTATACCTTATTATGAAACAAAGTAGTAAAACAGAACTCAACTTCAAAGCTGCATGTTAACTGTGCACATTGTAGCATAATTTTGAAGTTGCTGAGATAACACAGGATTTGCTTAGTTTGCTTTTATGTTTATTAAGTTGAAGATATCTTTATTCAGTAATCATAATAAACAGCTGAAGATGAAATTTATGGGAAGTCTTTGCTTCAGACACATTTTCAACATTAAATATCTCTCCCATGAGGAAAGGCTGAGAGACCTGGGGCTCTTTAGCCTGGAGAAGAGAAGACTGAGAGGGGACCTTATCAACACTTACAGATATCTAAAGGGAGGGTGTCACAAGGATGGGGCCAGGCCCTTCTCAGTGGTGCCCAGTGACAGGACAAGGGGCAATGGGCACAAACTGGGGCACAGGAAGTTCCGCCTCAGCATGAGGAAAAACTTTTTCCCTGTGAGGGTGGCAGAGCCCTGGAACAGGCTGCCCAGGGGGGTGGTGGAGTCTCTTTCTCTGGAGACATTCAAAACCCGCCTGGACGCGTTCCTGTATGACCTGCTCTGGGTGGTCCTGCTCTGGCAGGGGGGTTGGACAAGATGATCTTTTGAGGTCCCTTCCAACCCCTGACATTCTGTGATTCTGTGCGATTCCGTAAATTCCTCAGAAGACAGCTCTGAAGTATAAAGCACACTTGATCTGCAACCAATTTGATGAAATGACCTTTGGAATCATTCCACATTGCTGGTTGTGCTCCCAGTGCATGCGTTTATACTTGCACACAAAAATGTTTATTATAGATGAACAATTCTTTGGATTTATTAAAAAGCATAATTATAGATACAGGTCTTTAAAAGAACATGATATGGACAACGCTGTGTTTATAAACTATGATCTTAAAGCCCTCCAGCAAAAAACAGTTTCTCTGATAGCTTGTGCAATAAAACTGATCTCCATCCACCTGAAGCAATTCAATTTAAGCCCACCTGTGACATTCCCTTTTCTACTGGCCACAAGAGAGGATATAAACAGGAACAGTTCCTAGGAAAACAGAGCATACTATTTACGCAGCAGTAAACCAGCAAAATACACATCTTACAACTCAGCATGAGGCTACAGAACCATTTCTGCATGTAGCAGAATGATGGCAGCATACTGTCCAACAGTCAAGGAGCAGGACTTCCACAGCAGCCTCAGAGCCCAGCTCCAGCTGTGCTTACAGTAACTGGAAAGGATATTCTCTACTCCCTGCAGTCAGGGAGACAGAGGGCCATGGAGTGCATCAGCGGCAGTTTTTTCTCTAACCTGTAAGAACAGCACTCGCAGTCCTTGGAGGCAGCAGGCACGATGTGCCTTTAACAACTGAAATCTCTCTGGATTAAAACAATTAAACCATGTTTCCCATCAAGTTTCCTCCCCCTGCCCCATCACTTCAGGCTTCATAAGCACAAGCCAAACTGGCTGGTTCGCTGTTAACATGCCACTGGCTCTGGCTTGCTTTCTCACAGGTACATCCATCCCCTTCTCCCAGTCTCACAAGAAGCACGCAAGGGAGAACTAGAATCGCAGTATCATTAGCTGTTACAAGGTACAAGCAAGCACTGAATAAATTCAGATTTCCTCCCTGGATCATGTGGGAGTGGGGACCTAGTGACCAGCTGACTCCGTTGTCTACATGATTTAATGAATTCTCTTATCAGTTAATCATGGACGTGCTCCCAGCTAACTGGGAATAAAAAGGGAAGGGGGAAAACCCCAAACAAACAGCACTTTTTCTTTTAAAAGAAGCTGTGATAGAACCCACAGTGCTGAAAATTTGCTTAAGGAACTTTAATTAACTGGTTTCTCGGTCTAACAAGAATTATAGCGAGGACTTAACAGGGAAACTAGTCAAGGACATTACAGATGATGTTCATTTGTCTATAACATTTTGGTCGCTGTGTGCCAACTACTGGTATTAAACTTCCTTGATTCTCATAAGCCAAATGAAACGTATTTGCCAGTGTGGAGAACAGAATAAATAGATTTGTGTTTTCAGGTAACGCATTGAGCAGATGTGCTCACAGCATCTTTTCAGCACTGCTGGAGATGTAACAGATAACAGAACATCTTTACCACCTGAGAACACGGAGCAACTTACCTTCGTCACAATATATCCTAACAGGTTTCAGTGCTCCTTTGAAAGAGGTTCAGGGGCCAGGACAAGGAGACCTTGGAGAGGAATGATACTTTGATTTACTCGGGTAACCTTCTCTTACCCTTTATCATCTTTTTTGTCAGTACAGGCACAAAATGCCTATTATGCACAAGGTATTTCAGTTTTCTCATAGCCCTTATTTCATATCCAGCTGGTGACTACAGTATTTTTAGAGAATCAAGGAAGTTTCAGCCAGTATGTTTGCATTTAGGCCTGTAGATGCTGTACCTTTTTTAATCGCACTACATCACTTTCTTACTGCAGCCAAGCTTGAGTTCTGTCAACACCACGCACTTGGCACTTACCTAACGGTCATTATCTTGATCCGTCTGCCCTTTGGAGCACTGTCTCAGAGGTACAACTACTACTGGTTTAGTATTTGAGATGTCTGTCCTCTCCCACCATTGCTACGTGTAGCATGTGGTAGAAGGGCAGGGGGAAAAAAAAAAAGCTTCACCAATGGAACACCAAAGTGCAGATCAAAGGGAAGGTTGTTTTCAAAGGGTATTTGTGGGCATATGGGAAAGCTGCACAGAGTGCATCCCATGGAATCAGCAAATTTTAGAGTAGGACACCAGCAGTACAAGGTTGCATTCAAGAATATTGTTCTTATTTTACAAAACTTACCTAAAATTTGGCATGATTTTCCAAACAACATAAAATAAAGACTCTGGACTAAATGCAGTTTGGCTTCCTTGCCATAAAGCACAGAGTGTCTTCCTGAATTCTTCCACCAATGAACTGGAAAGAAAGTAAAAGCTGGTGATTAATACAGGTTTCAGCCTTACAGGCTGACTAGCTCAATGGTACAAATATCAAACATTACTTTGGTTAAGATTGTAATGATTGGGTAAATATCCTTTCAAGTACTTCAAAGAGTTTATATCCTACCTATAATGTTGCAGAGAAACATGGGTTAGGAAAATTGAATAAAAAAGCCCTTTTACTGCAGGGTTTTTTTGTAGTATGTTCACTTGCAGACACATCCCCATGACCGTATTTTAGCTGGAATTAAGTAACATCATGTCTGGAGTACATGTAACAAGCCCTTCTTAACCTGACTTTAAATGCAGTTACACTCCAGCGCTTTCTGATGTATCTGACTGCTTCCCCCTGCAGCACCAGATCTATATAAGCATACTGCAAGTGATACAAGTTTCTTTTTTTTGTTCAGCCAACTATTTTTCTATGACTCTGCCCCCCCATTAATCATTTTTCTACAATTTGGCAATACTGAAAGCATATAGCAGCTCTACTACCCCAGCATCTGCTGTTTCCCATAAAGTTCAGCGCTAACAAGGGACAGGCAGCTTACACATTGTTATCCCCCTGGCTCCTGGTATGGTAAGTTCGCCTGCCTGCGGTCTTCCCATTCCTCAGCTCCACAGCAGGCAATTCTTTGAAGTAACAGCAAAACTGTTGAATGTTACTGCAGAAATAAGAAAAAAATGAATAAAATCCTTAATGGGCAGAGAACAAAGAAAATATTACGTATTCTGGAGCCTGTTCTTTGAAATTCATACACCCAACTTCATGCAGTGATAGAGGATGGCAATCGCAAACAGTTGGAGATACAAGGAACACTGTAGCAAATACTCATCTTCTGTAAACGGCCGAGCAGATCCGTAAAGATCATCATCATCCCAACGACCTGAAGTAACTACACGTTGGCTCTGCTTTGACTAAGAGATACCACGACCGACTGAGGTATTAGAAGGCACTCCCTAACATACCAGGCTGCATCTGCTGAGGAGGTTAACTTCGTGTCTACCTCCACCTATCAATTCTAACCTCTGCTACCACAGTCCCAGTAACGGAACACGAGATGCATGTGCCTCAACTCCTGAACGATGGAAAGGAAAACAGCAACCGATTAGTCCTGCTACAGCCCAACTCGGTAGTCTCCCAGTAGGCAAATTCAGAAATGCAAAAGGGCAACGACAGAGCAGTGATGATCTTGGCAGCCACAAAATTAATCCTAACATCTCAGCACCGCAGAAACTGTTCTCCTGTCCACTTCCGTAAGACCCCACCCTCCAGCACTGTCTCTGCTTTCACAGCGACCATAAGCACCAACACGTTTCAACAGCCTCAGCAATGAAATGGCCGGCTCCCTTTCTGCTGAGGACAGGGCAGGCTTCCTCTGGAACACGGCACCACAGGAAATCCCTCACGCCGTGAAACACAGCTTTATGGTACCTGCACACTCCCACTCCTGCAAATCCAGGTACACTTTCATACGGTGGCAACTTGCCAAATTCACTTGGCACAGCGACACCGCAGCACACACCCACTCTCACAGAGGCATGGGGAAAGCTTTGGAGGTACCTGAGTGACTGAAGGATTGCATTCATGAAACACGTGTTCCCCAGGTTCCGAAGGCCAGTGGCACAAAGGGCAGCGGTGCTTCCCTGGAAAACGTAACGGTTAAGTTACAGAAAGACTTATCATTGCTCCCCCACTTTCTCCTCAGAGAGCTGTTACTGGTTATATCAGCACAGATTTAAACAATAATGAATTACACTATTTGAAAAGTGCAGTTTCAAAGCCAAAGCAACTACCTTACCAGCTCAAACTGCCTTGAAGCTCCATCTTGACATGAAACCTGTTTCTTACTCATTCCTGTCAACAGAAAACTATACTACATCTTTTCCTGTGCAAATAAATCTAGAATAGCACAACACTGAGTTAATCACAGGTTTTTATTGCAAAGTATTTGTACATATGTTAAATATTCACACTCCAGTAACATTGAGTGAGAACCAGAGAGCAACTTTCCTAAAGTGACTTTGAAAAATGAAAACACCCATCCTTATCCATCTAGGCCCACGTCTAATATACAGTGTGGCACCCTGCAGGTTGTTTTTAAGTCACCCACACTAGCCCGCTGTCTTGGTGGGGTTTTGTGGTGGCCAGGAAGGTTCTTGAAAGGCAGACAACAGCATTTATTTGGGAAAGAAACAGTCGAGTTAGACTGCTCAAAGAAAAAGCTGTGTATTGAATGAAGAGAAGCAAAACATACACCATTTACAGTCTATGAATTTCAACAGGTTAAAGCAGTATTCCTCAGGGGTGAGCTTGCTTTTTGCCAAACAATCCTCAGGGTGGGCTGGGAGGAGAGGGAAGAGAAACATGGACAGTGTCGCATTTATGATTTCTAGAATCTGCAACACTTGGACATGTTCCACTGTCACACTTGGACACGTTCCACTGTCTGCAAAATACCAGATTAGAAGTTCATCAGTTTTTTGGGCATTCTTCATTGCTCCAACAGAATTTAAAAGCTAGACTATGGTTTATTAGTAGTATCTCAAAGTGAACATACTACTTGACACCAAAGACTGCATGCAAATCCAGGTTACCGAATACGTATTCGAAGTGTTCCAATAGAACATTTTCCTGGTTGCCACAGCCAATATTTGAGTACTAATAAAACTGAGAAAACATCACAGACTAAGGAGAATACCAGCAGTGTTAAGTTCACGCTTTCTAATTGCCTTCTCCATATCTAAATGCTGCCTAGAGTTTTCCTTCTGGTTTTTACTGGCTTTGAGTTTTCCAGACAATGATGCTGTGTGTTGTCATAGCAAAACAACCCCACTATTTCTCCCAGGCTTCCTCAATCACCCCGAGACTGGGACAACACAGGAAGCATACACAGCACTTTCAGAGGACCCTAAACTGACTGTAGGTAATACTTTTTTAATGTATTTTTAATGTTCAGGCTGCAGAACAGCAACTGACTGCTTTCCTCTCAAGAGCTTCTCTTCGTAATCCGGTAATTGTTCCTCAGAGCTGAAGACAGCTATTACTTCAGCTCCCTTTGACTTTGTTGCTATCCTGAAGCCCCAAGGAGGAATAGCTCTGCTCTGCCACTCCTTCTGGCCACGGGTGAAAATGAAGCAGCTGCATACAGTTGGGTCAGCATCTCCCCTCTCCTGCCCAAAAATCTGGGAGAAATTATGAAGATTAGAAACCCCTCAACCCAAACTGTGGAAAACAGAGACATTTGGGTTGGGCTATTCTTTGTCTGGAAGAAACTATGCAGCCCTTCAGCTATCTAGCAAGGGCCTGATTTGATCGTCCTCTCCTGGCTGCTGTTTGGCAGATGTGAAGTTAAAATAGCAGGAAGATGAGAGATAAAAGCTTGCAAAACAGCCCACAGTTCCGTTTGAAAGCAAGTTTCACTAAGATCTTTTAAAAATTTGTAAATATTGTTTACTTTTTCCTAACAATTACTCTCCTGTCCCCCTAGGAAAACACAGTGCACCTGCTTCTTTGTCTTCTGCACTGTAAAAAAATAACAAACCAACCAAACAAAAAAACACCAAAAAACCCTTGTCTGCTCAGAGAAGTCTTATGTCTACCCCTGTTTTAATCCCAGTAGGTACTAGCTCCTTCCAATTTCGCTGATCCCACCAAGCCCAAACTGCCCTAAAGCTCCATCTTGACACAAAGCACAGGGAAGCTCAAAGTCTAAGTCGACATAAACGTAGCAGAATATTGAACGTTCTTTTGTGAGAAGGGGCTCTTCTACATGTGTGGTCAGGAGATGAGAAAGACAACGTGCATCAAGCAGAATTTGGGTAACCGATTGAAAGTATTTCCAGTCTAGGCCAACTATAAGCCTCAACAGGTTTAGAAAAAACCCTTAAAAACTCCCTGCACTGGATCTGTCATACTTACATTTACTTTCAGTAACTTGCTGTTCAGAGATGAGTTTTCCAATAGTTTTCTTTTCCTATGTCTGTCTGATGTAAAGGCTGAACTGTTGGAAAGTAATTTAAAAGAGGTTACTTATTGTAACAAGAAAATATTGTGCGAAATGGGTAACAGATAATCATCCTAATGTTTAACACAGTGATTACATTTGCCACCAGTTGTCATTAAGACAGTAAAGAGCTTCCCGATTGCAACATACGCTTTTCAGTCTCAAAACAGACTGCATCTCCCTCAGAGTACAGATGCACACCCTATTTTCAACACTAATGTCAGAGTTAATTCCATTAAATTATGCATGCTACAGTATGCATTCTCTGAGTGGCCTTGTCAACACGCTACTCTTCAACTAAAATATTGATCTTTTTCCTTAATCAAAGTAACATTTAATACAGAGTTTTCCATAAAATTCTATCAGAAGAATCATCTAAGCCTTTAGAAAGACAACTCAAAAAAAATCAGGACAAAGTGAAGTTACCAAAAAAGAAAAGTATCTCACTTATGTATTATAGCTGACTTCTCTTAATTAAATAAAAATATATGAGGTTATAACATTTGTGTAATACTAATCCAAAGTTAGAAGAAGAGTTATTCTTTCCCACATCACTGGAAATTACTGGCCCCTCAATTCTACCAGTTTATGACTTCTCTCTAATCCAATAGCCAAATTATAACTTGTTCCAGATTTTATGGTGTGGTTTGTTGCGGTGGGTTTTTTTCCGTTTTGTTGTTGTTGTTGTTTTGGTTTTTTGTTTTTGTTTTTTTTTGTTTTTAAATTAAAAAGCCCTCCAAGTATTCAAAAACTGTCATTACATACAATAGAAGCCTCCACGGTTCATTTACCTACCAAAGAGCTAGATCTCCTAGACGTTTCCAAAACACTAATGTGCACTTCTCATTATGCTTAAACACCTTTACATCTTATTACATCCCTAAGACCACCATCAAAAAGAGAATAGAAAATAATGGAAATGTTTACATTACCTACAGAGTAAGTGACACACTTAACTTGGGGAACATCCAGAGACTTCCCAAAATCACAGCAGTTTCTTAGCAGGAGTCCTATTTGAACTCTGGGGCATTCAAATGTATTTGGAAGCACTATATTCACATTTCTACTTAGTACTATATGTAAGATTTCCAAGCAAACTGTGAAAAGACTATTTGCTATCTAGCACTGGCCACAGGATCTGCATCACAAAGGTTGTAATATCTACTTTTCAGTGGAACAGAGCCAGATAAAGGGAAAGGAAAAACATGTCTCTTCTGTACGAGATCATAAGCCTTCTTAATCTTTTTGTTTGGAAACCAAACTATGAAATTAATATGAAGACTACTTCTGCCTGCATTTGCTTCAATTTCTCTGCTTCAGAAACTTCTGGGTTTGACAAAACTATGATTCTGTTCTGGAAATTCTCTCCCATTTATATGGAAAAAGACAGTAATTATTGGCTAGGTAGCGAGAAAGTTAGCGGATATTGAAATTCCTGTATCACCATACACTGCTTATACAAGACTCACTGTGTAAGAAACAAAACATATGAGATCAGTCAAATCTATTTGTTCTGCACCTCTGCTTCTCAGTGATGAAAAGGATATTTAAACATACACAGTATTACACACATAGAAGGACCAAAATAGATATACTAAATACATATACACATAGAAAACAGAAATACCGCTTAAATGATGAAATATTACAAGTCCACCCAACGCAGTCTTGATGTAAACAAACTACTTACTTTTCCAAGTTCTGTAGGTGCTCTCTGACCTTCTGTACCAGGCCCAGCTTGGTATCATTGACTACAAAATCATCACAGCGATAACTGCAAGAAAAACATCCATCAGAAAGTGCAAAGAATTTCAGTGAAGTACTCCAAAACAGTCATGCAAGCCTGCGTGTGGGAAGCACTGAAGCAATTCAGTGGAAGACCATGAGGGGAACGGGAGCACACCACCTACATACTGAGTGCACCGCACCTACTAACCTCTAGGGTGCAAGAGGCAGGCACTATCCTATTACATGGTTTTTTCTTCTAGCTCAGTTCTTTGTTAGAAATCAGAAGCATGATGCACTACTTGACCCAATGCAGAACTCCAGTTCAACAAAAATTCAAACATACAGTGTAACCCAAAGCAGCATTAGGAGACAAACCATAGATTTATCAGAAAAGGTCAACTGACATCAGGTAAACAGAATACCAAGTTTTTACTAACGTATAGCCTAAATCAATTTAATACTGTGAAGCTATCATTAAAGCCTGAGGTGCTGAACAGATACCACATAATGTAAAAGTTTCTGCTATGGAAAAAAGATCAGGGAAGATGAATTAACAGATTATGTGATTTGTCCAGTCACACCAGAAGTCTGTGGTAACTCATACCTTGTGCTTTAACCGCAAATATCACTCAATCTCTCATATAGATTTTTATATATACAGAAACTCTTCTAGAACTTAAGCTAGCTTTTTGAGATTTTTCAGTGTAAGCCTGCAAAAGTAAGTAACTGAGCTGAAAAAGAGAGAGAAGCTGATCCCCCCACTGCCTCAAAGCAAATATGAAGTGAAGCCAAATCAAAACGGCCTCTCAGCACAAAGCAAGGGTTACAAAAGTCTACAATCCTATAACGTTCTACAAAGATCACACATTTCCCAAGAAGCAAAGATGTCCATTATAATTTAATATTCCAGCTGTGGGCTCCTAACACCTCATATAGTGCACAGAGCCAAAGGTTTCAGACCATTTCTAAGGGGGGGGCGAGGAGGGTCTTTTAGGCAATGCTGAAAAAAACACCATGTCTTATTTCACTATTTTCCTGAGTACATGCAAATCCACAGCACACATGTCGATTTGAAGAAATTAAAGGAGAGAGTAGCAAACAAAAATGTCAGAAGGAGAACACTGTTGCAAGATGGCATTAACTTCTGCTGCTTTGCTGTATTTTAAATCCCTGGCATTTCTTGCCCTCACAAAAAGAGGGAGTAGAGGTCCCAGAGTGATGTGGACCCTCTTATCCACACTCCTTCTTCCATTTCAGAAGGAAAGACAACACTGGCATATAGATGTGGGGTAGCAGAAAGAGGAGGGGAAGGAAGGACAAAAATCCCTTAAACTCAAGAAAGAAAAACGCTGCAGGCAGTGAGGAAGCCCAGCACCACAGAATCCACACCTGCACGAAGGTAAGCCAAGAATTCTGTGCAGCCTCCTCGAGTCTCTCTCAAAGGAGGCAGTCAGTGGAGCAGCAGCCTTACTGCTGTGCACAGGAGCTGCAGAAGACATTTCATACTCCTCTTGCAGGGTCAGCCAAGAGCTAGCTCAAGAACTAGATAACATGAGAACAGGAAGGTAAGAACAGACTTAACATCACCTGCACCAGCTCTTTTGAGAGCACTCCAACAAACAGGGAGCAGGGACACATCACAACCTCCCCCGTGTCCCACAGAGGTAACTCAGCTCTGAGCACCGTTTGTCAGCCCTGTGCTTACTGTGAAGCATCAAATTGCAGCTTCAAATTCTGGCAGGCAACTGAATGCTTCCCGTGAAGAAAACTAACTTACTTTGGATATGTTTAATATCAGAACCGTAGCTATTTCTTTCCTTTCCCTTTGGCACACGATTGACTCAAATACATCCTCATCATCTTAGGTTACTCCTCTGCTGGAGCAGATCTGTGCTTGGCAAGTTAATGAAGCTATTGCCTTCTGGCACAACTGGAATGTACAACATTCTTTGTTGCACAAATCTGCGATGTAGTTCAAAGGCAACAGTATTGCTAGTGTTAATTCAAACACCGAATTCCTGAAGAGACTACGGAGTAGAGAAAGAAAAGGCCTTTGCCACCAAAGGGGTCTGTAAGACCAGTCTGTCCAGGAGCTCTGTTGATTGTTGCCCCTGAGAAGAAAAATTAATATAGCTCTCAGGATGTCCAAACACTGAACACAGCTGTTACGGATACTTATGCAAGATCTAGAAATTATTAAGATAGCTATTGCCAGTAATATATATATATATTTTTTTTTTTTTTAAGATTGCCACAGATCTGGTTAGTTTGGGAGGGGGAAGAAGTCTGTAAACATGCCTTTTTTTTTTTTTCCAGCCATGTTTTAGGCAGTCCTATTCAGCTTTATCAGCCACCTGCAATTACCTAATGCAGTGTTTCCTGCATTTGCCACTTTCACAGGACACCACACCTCAAGGACAACCATCAGAGCAAACTACGCAGGCCAGCTTTGCCGAGAGGTAGATATGGTGCAGGTGGATACAGTACAGTCCAACTCCTCCTCAATACCAAGCGTTAACACTCCCCCAGGTAAACTAGGACGATTACATTACTATTCTAGTTGTGTAGCTGCTAACACTTCTAAACAGGGAATGAAAGCAGATGCAAGCTCACTGAAAGCATCTAAGCCAACTTATTGCTGAAAGATGATTTAAGACTTGCTCCCATGCTCCAAAGATCGCGTTAACCTTATTTTTAGCCTGATCTCATGTACCAGTTACATCTTTACATAAAATCACAAGTTAGCACTTTCCCCAAGATGAAGGAATAAAACCAAGTACACCATTAATGTCAAGGTCCTTGCAACACTGGAAAAGTAATTTGAAGATTCGCTTAAAAACAAGACAAGCTTCTTCTATTTCTTTTCAATAGGAAAGTTTTTTAAACCACCTCCCCTGCAACACTGAGGATTCAGCACTACTACTAGGAACAACAGTACTACTACCAATCTATTTTGGATAAATGAAGTAAACCGTATAGGAAGGAGTTCATGCTTCCATAGCTTAAAATTTGCTAAGGCCACAAATCTTAAATGTAAACTGCTGAGTGACTTCCTACAGGTGAAGCTGACATTCAAAACAGGTTTCATTTGTGATCCTCAGGATTATCGCAAATTAACTATACACCTTTTTGCATACAGCAGTTATACTATATGCTTTTAACAGCAATTGTACAGAATAAATTCTACACTTTGGGGAGGGTCCCTTATATGGGACAGTATTTTCCTCTCTATACGCTTTCTATTTTTAGCACCTCTGCCACTTCCAAGGCCTGGTCTGTTCTGGCTTCCTTTGCTGCTAAAATGGCAGCAAGCCAGTGAATCTATGCACTGCTCCGAGGAACACTTACATTGCTTAGTGCTGGCCCTTTCAGTATGTTACAGAACTTCACGTTATGTTCAAAAGCCCTGATTGGATCTGAAGAGCTACAGGACAGGAAGAATTAAGAAAATTAAGAAAAAGTTTCCTTAGTTGTGCTCACACCTCATATGAGTAACCTAAGAACTCAAGTTTTACTGTCTTGATAAAAACCTTTTCACCTTCTTTAATTTCCATTGACTATAGAACGCAAAATAATGGTCCTAAGCAATCTCATTTTCAGATGCTCATGCACTAGCACAGTAAGTCTGGTTTTTAAAACAGAACCACCATCACAAAAAGAAAGACTAAAAAATAATTTTTTTAAGTCCTTGGCACTTGGTAATTTTTACATCAGGCTGAGGGACAACCACCATGGGGGGGACTACAGGGACATGAGCACAACCATATCCCTTTAAGAGATACCAAGGGAGCTAATGGGTCAGAAAGCTGACCTGCAAGTTGTGTCTGGGATTACATGAACACGGGAAACATATTATGCAAATACATAAATAGGGCAGCCTTTCTTCTTCTGTGCTAACCAACTGACTGTGCACTAGCACACAGAAAACAAATTTACAAGAGGTGTCTTTCAGAAAACGTATTTCTGAAAGCAGGCTTCTTACACATATCATTCTACTTCTCATGCACAGAAAAACAACCACTAACACAGCAAGAGAAAGCATGGTATGATAGCTTGAAGAGAAAAAAAGATCTGCACTTGTTTGTGCTTAGTACTTTAGAACTAACCAAAAGGATGATTACCTCCAAAAACTGGGATGGAGGAGTCTGTTTTTCTCAGTGTTTAGGGTCTCAAACACCATTCAGTCTGAAGATTTAGTACTGCATCTACTGTCTCAAGTCACCAAAGAATCAAGAAGACAGTTGTACTCATAATAAAAGACAAACATTCTCTCAACTTTTCCACTGTAAAGACCGAACAGGTGAATACCAGGACATAAAAGAAAGATCAAAATCCTCTGGAAAGCAAATCCCTAGTTGCCCAATACTTAACGATACCTCAAGCATGCCTGTGTTTTTCAAAACATTATCAAATTCACAAATACGATAAAAACCTCATCTCAGATTAAAAAAATAATAAAACTTAACCATTGTCCCACCAGAACTGAAATATTTTCCTTTCAAAGCTACGTTGAAAGCTTTTGATCATGTAAGAGAAAACATACACACCTAGACTTCCACACTGAAATGCAATTACAGGAACCACTCACTTGGATCTGGTTTGGGTTTACAGCACATGAACTACAAACAAAATTCCATAAATCATGGTAGTGTCAACAGTCACAGAGTATTTCTTCCCCTGGACTGACAAGAATAGCTATGGCAAACCCTGAACTGTGCTCTCATGACTGCAGCAAAGCTTATGACACAGCCAAAGAGAAGCACAGGGTTAAATGCCTTCTGCTTAGAAAAGAGCCCACACAGGCCTGTGCACTACAAATATCATGCATTGTAAGGAACCCGGTAAATTGGGATCCATAGGATAAAAACAGAACAAGAGTACTCTACTCAACTCTCTGCAGAAACCAAAATCGTAAATGAAAACATAAAAGCCAGCACTGCATCAAAATATTTCCATTATTTTTACAGTAGAAGTAAAATTCAATTAAGTCTTTGGATATATTTTCTTGACTTTCTAATTATTGAGGATGCACACATAGCTAGCACAAAATATTAACCTTTAAATAAAAGTTCACTTAAATGAAACATCATTGCATAATCATAGCACTGCCTACTGGATTCATGTCTACACTGAAGAAGCTAATGAATACCACTTCAAAATTCCATCTCCACAGTAGCTTGTTATGACTCAAAGTCACCTAACTATTTGCTTTAACTGCCAAGCACTACTTGATAGCAGCCTCTCTGGTACTGTCTGAAATAAAGGTGGAAAAGTTAGTCTGAATGCTTTCTGCTTCATCTTCACACACCCAAGTTCATTTCCACTAAAAAACTCGGTGCAATAACAAATCCAGGTATCTTTTTCTGATTATCAGGTGGGAAAAAAATGAAATGCCCTAAATGAAAGCAAAGATGCACTGCTTTTGAAATTTGTTTAGCTTCACATTAGCACCGGAGAGTTATAATTCACTAGCAAATTATACACAACTGGAACTCCCCCAGGCAAAGCTCTCTACAATTAGTTCCAGTTCATCCATAGATGACTCAGCCTTCTACTTTGATTACAGCAGAAAAAAAATCACCTGCTCAACCGCTTCTCATCTGTCCTACCACAAATATGCAGTGAAACACCAGAAGCTTCCTAAGTGTGTACCTACCTGCTCCTCACAAGCATAGTTTGTTTCAGTAATAGATCCCACAGTCCCCAGTTTGGCTATCGCCATTTTGCAATGTTCATATTGGCCTTGGGATAAGGTCAGCAGGGTGCTCTGACTTGCTAGTGTAACTCATCAAGCCTCAGCAAGTTGCACATACTATTTGTCACAGTAAAGGGAGATATAATCAAAACTTAAATACCCTGTTAAAATTCCTCCACCCATTATTACCTTCAGAGTGACTAGAAGACAGGACGTACTTCAAACAAAACAAAAAGCCACAACATAGAACTCAGTTGTTAACAGCATTAACCAGGAAAGTGGAATTAGCTTCCCATAGGTGTTCCAGTCCTGGTAACCTTTGCACATATATCACTTAGAATAATGTTATGTTTTTCTAAAGTTTTCACACAGGAACAGATAAAAATGCTGGTTAAATAAAATGTAAGTAGAACCAAAATCCCCGTACATTACAAAGCTACTCAAACCTTTCTTCTGTGCTTAACATCCGTACAGCCGCACACACCACCTTGAATAATTCTTTAGTTTCTCCAAACAAAATTTCTTCAGATGAGACCACTTAACTGTGAGTTTACTTGCAGGGAATAAAAATATTTATTACAGAAGTATTCATCATAAACAGGATACCTCAAACTGGATACCCTAACTTCAGCAAACAGATTTTTCCCTGATGAAGTACACAAAAGATACCCAAATATTTGAACAAAATACCCATCAGCAGAGCTATATACTCAGTAATTTTACAAGAGCATAACGTGGATTTCCCCGAGATGTGCAGTGTTCAAATCCTGCACTGCCACACCACACAAGTAACGACATATGTGGGAAAGCATGAAGCTAACAGGAAACGTGGAAGCAGCTGTCAACAGTTTTGCTTAGGGGTGAAGAGGACGGAAGATGCTGAACACACAAAAGCACTGCTTTCAACAGACTTCCAGTCTTGGCTCTCTGAGTAACAAGGAAGATAAGGAACCCGACATTACCAACATAACTATTAAAGCTCCCTAAATGGTGCTCATATCTCACTGTAAAAAACTGATACAACAAATCAGCCCAGGCCATTCTTTTTTTTTTTTTTTTTTTTTTTTTTAAAAAAAAAAAAAGAATCACTGCTGATTCTGCTACTGAATCTTGCCAGAGAGTTGATGCTGCTTTCCAACAGGATCTATCACTTTCCCAAACTCATACAGGTTGCACCAAATCTTCAAAAGACAGCCACCTTTCTTTCAGGGTGAAGAATAAAATTAATATTGGAAAACTCCCCAAACAAAACACACACACCCCTCAAGTTCACATATCTCAGGCAGGAACTGTAGTGTATTGCTTTATTTTCTGATATTCTGACAAAGAAAGGATACGTGAAAGGCTTGCTAATTTGATGAAAGAAGTAACTACAACCAAACAGCAGCTTTTGCAATTAAAAAGTTAGGTTCTCACCATACCCCAAAGTAAACAGAAGCAACTCCAAACCACATAAACAGCATTTATTTTTAAAAGTTTCAGCTAAGTCATTTGAAATGCGGGAGTTTAGCTGCAACCAGTGCTACAATACACATGCAGAAGCAGAGGTTATTTCCTAATTGTTTTCAAATAGCCAGGTCTGGAAATCAAGAGGTGAAGTTCTCAAAAAATTGTGTAATATAATGCTTCACAAGAGTCTGAAGTTTGCACTTTCTAGCACGTAAGAAGTTACCAAATTACAGCATTTAAACCCTTACCAGTATGTACTGTAACTACTGCAATCCATACACACAGTATGCTGAACTTTCTCTTGTTTTTCTGTTTTCTTATGATTGGTCATAGGAATCTGTGCATCTTCATAATGCTTTTTTGCATGGCCATTCACATATCTAAAATGAACAAAAAACAAGAAGTCTTACACTTTTAAACAGCTACTTAACTAGCATTCCCTGAAAATAAGAAAAAAGGCAGCCTAGTAAGCATGGAGTATTTATAGAAGCATTAAAATAGGCAATTCACCTGTGTGAAAACATTGGTTACATTTTCTAACTTTTTACCCCTTTATTCTCCCACATTGTCCAAAGTAATCCCTCCACCCACTTCATATTGTGGCATCCTTGTACCCCACCCCAGGATGCAGGCCCTTAACAGACTGATGCCCCTTCACAACTGAGAAAATCATTAGCTCCCTTTTTCCATACCTGTAATGTGGTTAGTTCTCCTTATTGCTTTCCCATATACTTTTCTTACAGCTCTACTTTTTTCTCCACCCAGCACTCACCATGTTTGCCATTACTTTTCCAGTGTGCTGACCCCCATATGAAAGCACATCTATTTTAAGCTTTGCTATTGTGCGACACAATTTACTATTAGAGCATTCTATGTTTTATAAAGTTCATCAGTTGGAAGGGCTCTAGGCCTTGAAAAATAAGTCTAAAATCCTATAGCTCTTTTGCATTTTCACACTCAAAATCTGAGATCTAGAAAATTAGGCATGTTTAATAAAAACAGCATCTTTACAAATGCAAGAGCCCTAAGTATCAGCTGAAAATCATTAACACTTAGAAGTGCATAGCCAGACCTCAGGTGAATTCCCTCCTCCCACTTCTGGCTTGTTGAACTCTGCACTGCTTACTGACAGGAACACTGCCCATGCTCCACAAGAAGGTCTTTGTATTCTACACTTGTTCTCACATGCAGGTATAAACAATCCTGCCAATGCAGCTGAGCTAGTCAAGGCACTGAAGCCACGGGGTTACCGACATTGCTGCACTGGCAAAATCCTGCAACAAGCACGTCATAACCTGACTGAGACAGTTGTGCTGGCAGGAGTTGGTTTTCTAACAGTGCAAACGACAGGTTCATAAAGCCGTGCTCCCACCAGAAATGCTCTGCTGCTCTTACGCAGTCCGTAATGTTCCCAATGACTCTAACCTGCAGGATGTACTTCAGGTGAAGACCTGAAAAGTTCTATTTATTTTCCTTTGATTTCGAACATTATCTGAACAAAAACACACACTGTGTGCTATCATGATCAAAAGCGCTCCCGTCACAAGGCAAATTACATTCTTCTCATTCAATTATTTTCCATCCTAAGGATGGGAGCAGTTAAAGTCAAAACAAACTGCATAAATAATGGACTCAATGCCTACTAACTGCACACAAGAAAGGTCATATGTAAACAGTAATAGTATTTTTTTAAAATAAGTAATAATTAAAATATTCCAAACTACTTATTTCACACCATCACATAACATGAAGTAGCTCCCTCTCTCAGCCTCATCAAGCACAAATCTATAAAATAAATTAATAAAAAGAGAAAAAAGGGGAGTTGTGCTGAAAACTCTGAATAAGAGACATTATTAAAATTGTGGCACTTGCTGCTATCCAGATCAAAGAAACATAACTTGGAGTTTATTGAATCCACTTTAAAAGACAAAGTCACTAAGTTTAATGATGCTTTTCCAGAATAAAAGCAGACCAGCACAGATGCTACCCTACAGATGAAAACATGTTCACATCTCAGATACTGTCTAAATGATAACACTAACTGTATTTCATCAATACATGCATCTCAAGTATTTACGCAGCAGCAAATTTCTACAATTATCCTGACATACAAATAACATCATTGACTGTATCATTCCTTTACAAATTCTTTTGGTGTACTTCAACTAATGTAGAAAAAAACCCCAAACAGGCGTACTCTGAAGGAATTCTGACGGTAGCTCATCCTTATATGTTATGGCTGCCAATAGCTTTGTTCCAAAACTACACTACAGTACATTTAAGGTATTTTCTGCCTGCAGCACCTGGACAGTTCTGTTTTTCTCAAAATAAGATGTGCCAACTTTGGATTTGTGGGTTTTCAAGAATTCTTATTGCTTTAATTTTATTACAATAGAAACATCCTTTACAGAATGGAACTTGACAATAATCAGCTGAATTAGCAGTCCTCCAGGCACTTTTTGAGCTGAGCAATCACATTCACCATACACTTTTCTTTTGGGGAAAAAAAAAAAATGATCTCTGGACTCTCATAAGGTAGTAAAGAACTGTGTTTAGTATAAACATACAATGTTAAATAAGATCATAAAAGGTTTATTTCAGGGAATTACAAGGCATTCAGAAAATTTTGCATGAACTACCTTAGACTCAAGCAACAAAGGAAAAAGATAAAGGTCTAATTAAAAGATTTGCACACTAATAGTTTGTACCCACCTTCCACAATGGACACTTGAGCACGTCAGACAGACCCACGGACTTTTGTTTGACCGGCACACTATAAAAGATTAAAAAAAAAAAAAAAGCGTCAAATGAATTGGCTCTGATATTTCAGTTGTGTAACATCCTGAGTGCCAGCAAGAGCTCTGCTGACTCCACCTTAGCAGTACAGTTATATAAAACAGCCAGTCATGCTCATTAACCTGTACTAGGGACTAAACCAACCGACTGAAGAGCTATTGACACTAAAGCACACTAGCCACCTTCTGGCTTGGGTTTTAGTCGCAGGCTACACATTCACTTGCTACTTTCCATGAAAAATTTAATTTCTTTTGTTTGTACTGCAGCCACACGAGGTCTACTTGATTTTTTCTTAGTTATACAAGAAGCCATTTAAAGAAGATATTGCAAGAAAGCCTGGCAATCTGATAAGCACACAGAATAAATTACTGTGCAATGCATGATAATATACACCATTTGTACAATACATATATATACCTACGCCACAGTGCTCGGAAAGTCTCTATCCATAAAGATTTTACTCTTTCAGTCACACTCAAGAAGATGAAACGTTAAAATGTACCACAAGTGCTGTGTTTTGTAATCCATTCCAGACATCAAAGGATGTTATTTAAGTTTTCAGCTGTCTTCTATGTCTAGAAAACTTGAATTAAATAAACATGTATGCTTTTAAGCTAAAGGGCTTAAAGGTAAAAAACAGCAGATATTAGAAAATTATGAAACACCATCCCAGGCTAGACCCACAGAAATGGGATATTCCAAATCCCACCCCAACTCAGCAGCAAAGTCTGCAAATTCAGATTAGAAACAAAACCTCAATAAATAACCCATGTACACAGAACACAGTAAAACAGGCAAGCAGAGAAAAATTTCCATTAGTCAAGTCAAGAAAAAGTGTATGCATCTTTAGAAACAATAGCACTTTTAGAACTACAACTAGATCGATATTGAACTCTCAAATTTTGAGAGGAATTCTGATGTGGATCATGTCACTGAAGGAGTGATGCTATGATATACAACGCTCAGATCTGAATGAAGTAAAATTGTTAACAGCTATCCATTACCATAGAACTTACAGAAATAGCATTACACTTCCAAATACCCAACTAACATGAGAAAAGAAAATTGAAATGCTACGTGCACTTCTGCAAGGAGAGAACACAACAATAAAAAGACAACTTCAATTATCCCAAAAATACAAAATGGTACGATGCCACCTGGTTTTTCTACATGCTATAAGTAACCGCTTCTTGGAGCAGCCAGTCAAGAGAGTCACAAAGGAAAACCAAGACATCAGAAACATGAGAGTCTGTAAGGCCAGGGGAGAGAAGGGACAACAAGAAGAGGATTAAACTCTAGCATATGTGTAAATTATTTATATTGTTATTTATTGTGGAAAAGTTTGCGAACAACCTTCCTGTCTGGAATCACACCTTAGAAAAAGCAACTGGGGAAACTGAAGCATGCACAGGAGCTGCTCCAGGGCAGGATCACCTGAGCAGGCTAATTCAGGACTTTTAGCAAAACTCAAAAAATAGGTTCACCAAGCTACAAACCATGGTACATACCAGAGAAGACCAAGTATTACCAGAGAAAAGCAAGCTAACAGAAGTGAAAGAAGTTTCTTTATCAAATTAAATGCTGATTAAGAAGAAAAATCAAGGAGGGGGGCAATTTTTAATTGGGAGAAAATTAACTAGCTTAGTTGTTTAGAAGCTTTAGTACACTTTTACACCATTATATTTCACCTTTTTTTATTTAAATCAGAGTGAAAAATAAACTAGCTAACACTGCTTCTTAAAGAATTGTTTGTGGATTTGAATTTGTTATTAAAAATAGTTGTATTTCAATTCACATTCCCAATGCAAGGAATGTTGAAAACTAAGAATTTTACTGTGTTCATCGGGAAAAAAAAAGCACATTCCACAGAAACATTATTTGAAATAACTACTTTAAACTCTTTAGTAAAGACTTCAGAGTTGTTTTCTTCAACTGCTGCAATTAGTACTTTACTTGAGAAACACAGTTTCTCACATGTCTCAGTTTTCTGGTTTTGGTGTTCCAAAATCAAATTTTCCTATTTCTAAAGCTGATGGGTTCCCACAACTGTGATGGTCATCTTGCAATAGAGGACAGCCAGGTAGGGTTTGCATTTCAGATTAGAAAAGTGGAAGAAGTTTGTCTAATCTGACCAAACATTAGCAAGAAAACCAGCATTTGGCACTGGCAAACAGAAGAGAAAGGGAAGACCTTAAATAGCCATCATCAGTTAAAAACAGGCTAAATGGACCACCAGTCTCACCTGATGCAACTTTATTTTCCTGAACTACACAAACAGAGGTAAAAAATTAACCAGAAGGAAAGAGAAGTCAAAACCATTCATGCACTTAAACACCGATTAAGTGCCGCATGAACAAACCACTACCCTACACTTTCCTTGCCATGAACCCAGAACAGTTTCCCTTGCATCAAAATCCCAGCAGAAATCTCCCACTTTGAAATAACATTTTTGCTTTTACTATGTTATCATCTGTAGACAGAACCGGTTCTAAACTACTACGTCAAAGCACTATGCTGCAAACTATTATTCTTACTTTCCACCACATGCCAGATAATTACAATTTCACATTCAGGTATTTAAACTATCTGCACTGCTTGCTTGTCAAGTGTTATACTGAAGAAGTGCTCGTTCTGCAGAGTTCAAACCAGGTTTAAGTCTTAGGCACAAAGCCAGCAAACAAGTCCACCAACTCTGCACAACGCCAAAAAGACAGTGTCCACTAAAATTTTCCATCTTTCATATCAGGGAATAGGAAAAGATGGCTCATTTGTTTGCTTTAACTGTTAGGCAGAACTTTGCTCCAATTGCATCATATTAGAAATGTGTAGTTTATCTTCTACACAAACATCTCCTCCCACAAAGAACTCAAATAACATGGATGTGACTTCCACTAAGATTAAACACAGAAGCCAGTATTAAATTTGTGACCTAAAGTTGCTCTGTTCCAAGAGGATTACACAACTGATTTTTTTAAAGGTTGCTGAAGATTGCACTCTGTATTTCTAAGGCTGGCTCAGAAGATGCCTGCATTAACCACATTAAAAAAACTTAATTATCTGTTTGTTACACCTTGTTTAGTGGTATATGGGCTAAGGAAAGCTGGCTGCTTTCTCAGCCTCAACTAAAGTAGCTACTGCAATGGTTACCAACTGCCTCATTTTGCTGCATTTTTAGAATAGCTCAAGTGGTTAGGCAAAGAGGATACTAACATGTCAAAACAGAAGGGAAAGCAAATCCACAACGCCACGATGTTGTCTGAAGCAGTAAGTCATTTGCCATTTTACATCAATATCTGCTCATTCAGAAGCTTAGACACATAATTTTTCATCATGTACTAGGAAGGGGAAATACTGTCTTTTACAGAACGATTTCTCTAAGTGAAATCTGAATACTCATTTGTTATACAGCCTACAAAGCCCTCTGTAAACGCAGAGGAGTATCAGTCCATCGCCAAGACAGCCAACAATCAAACACCACTACATACAGACTCATATATGACTATGGGAACATTCAGAGACATCCCTCCAGCTTCCACTTTCTGTAAATCATCCTGATAATTTTCATCAAGTTACGCCAAGTAGAATGCACCAGATATGGCTAATCAGTCTGGCACTCTCATCACAGGGCCCCCACCCCATCTTACCCTCAGGATCACTCAGATAGGTACTTCTGAATCTTGACTCTTTCTTCTTATTGAGAACTGACTCCAAGTGCAGTCCTGTGAAGCATGAAAGCTCTTGGCAAATAGCGTATTCCTTACAGAACAAGGCCACAGATTTCCACTTTAGGAAAGTTACAGCTATGTAAAAGTATACAAACAACCTGTGAAACTAATAGTTCTGTTTAAATAGCAGGCTGCATAATCTAGAAACTGGCAAAAGAAAAAAGAAGCAGAGGAGACAAACAGGAAACAGTTTCTGTAAGGCAGCCAAGTTAAGCAACCTGCAAGATACAGTGTCCACCAGAGATCTGGCAGCGGTGCAGCCATGTGATCAATGCAAACTGCGGCCTCGCCAGTCACAGAAGGACAAGTGACCTGAGGCCACAGCTACTACAGAACTGTGCTTACATCCAAGCTTTAAAATAGTCCTTTATTACATCACTAAAGAAAAGGCCACAAAATATCAGCACAGTAAGAGCAATACTTTGGTCCTTCTGTTAAGAGCACGTTGAATGGAAACAGATTGGGGTCATTAAACTATTTCCAATAGTCTCCACAGCCTTCACAAGACAGCCTGGACTTTGTTCTCAAAAGGAGCTGTACCAACACTACTATCTTACTTGTATAATTATATGGTTAAACTACAATAACATAATGACCTGCACAGAAACATCTTTGGACTAAGTGACCTTTTTTTCAGTTCAGTTTATCTTGACTCAGTAGGTCAGCTATACTGATACAAGGTAAACTGAAAAAGGTCACTGTTACTCCACTCAGCATCTGCACAAGGAACAATTTTTTCACAGCTGTGGCTGCACTGGTATACTGATACTGTGCTGAGCAAACTGTCCCACCAACATAAGCACTTGGTGACAAACACACAAATATATATGTTACACATGTACAGCATGCTGTATGTGCAGCATCTATACACATGCTATATGTATGTATACACACACACACGTATGTCTATCTCAAAAAAAAATACTAAAAGTATTCTAGAGAAATACTTTTCCTTTCCCATACCTTTAACTTCATCTTGCCTAACAATCCCTCAGTGCCCTGTTTAATTAAGATTGTAGAGTAACATTGTCCTGCTACCAATTTGCTCCTAAAAGAACCTGACAAATGCAACAAAGTCTCCATTAAAAACAGGTGAAGAAAAAAGAAGCAACAATCTGCATACCAAAACCTGAAAGCCCTGCTTTGTGAAACACAGACCTCCTGTACGTGACACAACCGGCCTAAGCAATCAGACTAAAAGCTGCCTCCTCCAAAGATCTGGAAGTAAAGAGGAGAGAAACTTGCAAGCAAAAATCTTGGGAAACAACCACAAGTGGTGGGAATACAAAACTCCGTATGCACATTTAACCAAAACTACACAAACACCTTTAGTAATAACATCTCAAATGCAAAGTTTTTTTCAGTCACAAGATTCAGAGTATTTCTCAGAGAGCCCACTTCCATTACACAGACTGAAAAAGGAAGAATGAGAGAATGAGTAACACAAGAATTTTATCAGCATAGATCAGAACTGAGCCTACTAGCCTTTACACCTTAGTCCCTTATGTCATTTTACTTACAGGCAAGGGTAAGACATCCCAAAACTCAGCCCTCTATACACGAAACTTTTAAGGTGACTTGACAAAACAGCTCGAATTAAACACCTGAAACTTCCCATACACAATATACATGAGATATCAGGCATCTGAGAGAGTCATCTATGAAAGCCAGTACTCTAAGTAGGGAATCGCTTAAGTTATTACCCTATGAGAAATACCAAGGGGGCAAACGTTTTGGATGTGGTCCCTCTCCTGGGCTTATGTGCTGCAGTTGCAAAAATGCTCTGCCTGCCACTGGAATTTACAGCTCTGGAACTCCCTCTGGATGCAAGCATAACATCTTTCCAAAGACTGAATAAATCAGCTGAGAAAGAGTCTCCGCGCAATCCCTCTTCATTCAAGGTGTGAATGCCTCAGGTTTAACACACACATCTCGCACCCTTGGAAGGCCTTCCTTCCAGGCTGCTCCTAAGTGCTGAGGGAGGACTGACAATTCCGGCTGTTCAAGATGGCACTTCCCACGAATAAGTATTTATTCAGGGGAACAGCGAGACAAAGCAAGAGGGAGCGCGAGTTTCACCAAGCCTAGCACTTACAGCTTTTGCCTAGGCTCCAGTCTCTGCAGCAAGGAATATCCATGCATTCTATATTCAAAATCCACCGGATTAAACATTCAGTCATCAGAACCAAGACTGAAACCAAGGATTTTCCACTTACAATGAACTGTCCAAATCACAACATTAGAGCACCATGTGTACTCTTTCCTTCTGGCCCATAAATTCAGTTATAAATCAGCACACATGATAGAACAGCTTCTCAGGGCAAAAAAAGTCTTACTCGTAACAGAATAAGATGGCAGAACATCTGGATACGTGCAGAATTGGACATTCAAGCACTGAAAAAACCACTTAACTAGCAGAATCAAAGACGCCTAAAAAAATACAGGTGTCCTGGAATAGTGTGTCCAGTTCTGGGCCCCTCAGTTCTAGGAGGACAGGGAACTGCTTGAAAGAGCCCAGCGCAGAGCCACGAAGGTGATGAAGGGGGTGGAACATCTCCCTTATGATGAAAGGCGGAGGGAGCTGGGTCTCTTGAGCTTGGAGGAGAGGAGACTGAGGGGTGACCTCATCAATGTTTATAAATACGTAAAGGGCGTGTGTCAGGAGGAGGGAACCTGGCTCTTCTCGGTGATGGCCAGTGACAGGACAAGGGGCAACGGGTACAAGCTGGAGCACAGGAGGTTCCACATTAACATGTGAGGAAAAACTTTTTCACTGTGAGGGTGGCAGAGCCCTGGAACAGGCTGCCCAGGGGGGTGGTGGAGTCTCCTTCTCTGGAGACATTCAAAACCCGCCTGGACGCGTTCCTGTGTGACCTGCTCTGGGTGGTCCTGCTCTGGCAGGGGGGTTGGACAAGATGATCTTTCAAGGTCCCTTCCAACCCCTGACATTCTGTGATTTTTACCCGCAGCATGTTAAAATCTCTAACAGGCAATATAAGTTACTTAGTACTAAGTACACATGTATTAACACAAATGATCACATTCTCAGTTTTTTACTTCACGTTCTTTTTTGCATTTTAAAAACGCAGTCGCTACAAGTATATATACATGCAAGATTTATTACCTGACCCTGTTGTCTGTTTACATTCAGGAGGAACCAAAAATACTTAAATTAGTATCTCAACTAAACATGATGGCAAAACCCTAAGAGCGGGCAGGCATTAACATACACAGAAGTGCACTAAGTTCAAGCAGAATGCTAACATTAATTTGTAATCTAGGAGTAAGTTCCAGAACTTAAATACCAAGTTAAACTTCTATGGTGGTTGATTGGGTTGGGTGTTTTTGTTTCGCGTTGGGGTTTTTTGGGGTGGGGAGTGGTGTGTTTACACTGTATATACATCTGGTAAAAGTATCTGCTCTACATTTTAAGAGCTTAAGGCTAGTCAATTCCAGATGGGTAACTGTAATGAAAGCCAGGTGACTGAAAAAGGAAGTAAACGTTACAAGAGTATTTTTTAAACCTTTGAGTAGGCTAAAGCTCCATTCTAGACAGAGAATGCAGGAAAACGGAATGTTATAGGCTTTGAAAACTAGAGAGATGTTAAGTGTAGAACAAGTCAGCTCTATTACTGTTTAGGTTTTAAAGAGTATTCTCACTTGTTTTCAAACTTCATCTCACAAAAAGCTCTTCTTTCTATCCTACCCTTAGTCCCACTACAAGAAGTTCATAAATGGAATGAACTTGTTCTAAACTGTTTGGTATTAGGAAAATATATATTCTATTTAACAATATTTTACACGTTTCATTTGTTAGACATCTTTATTGCCTATTTTAGAAAAACAGCATTCTAGTCAAAATGAAACCAGACAGAAGGGGAAATGAGTTTTAATTACACTCTTTAAAATGTTTTGTTTTAAAATCAGCTAACACCCACATACTAAGAGGAAAAGATAAGAAAAGATGAAATTTAAATTACATTGAAATCAAAGCAAGAGAATTTACAAGGCAGCAAGTTTCCTGGTAAGCATTACTAACAATACAAAAATGTTAACCATTCTTTCAGTGTTTCATACCCTCATCACAAAGAGATGCATAATAAATAGAAGTCTCAACAGTATCAATTGTTAGCCTGACTCAAACCACATTCAAATGTAAGAGAATTCAGATAGACTTTGAAGAACATTTATAAAAACCCAAGCAAACTAGCCTCACTTTCCAGCTATGGAAAAAAAAACCACAGTTATTTCTTCTGCTATTATCTTTCAGCCAAAATCAGAGAAATTAAGTTTTTAGTGAGAAACCAAGCAAGTCACTTTGTGATAGTGAACTTATGAAATCAACTAAGATTTGTGCTCATGCATAACAACGGTACATGTGGTTTCCTCCTCTTTGTCTCAAAATAAAAGAATTGCTCAGTCTTACATAAGAAATTTCACAGACAGTTACAGTAAACCACTGTTACAACAGAAAACCATATATAATCCAGACAAACTAAACAGATGAGTAAGAATAAAAAACATAGGCAGGTAACAATTTTCTGTAGAATACATAGGTCATTGAAGTCTTCAACACATTCCTAATATTGAAGAATGTTTGTCAGAGAACAATGTGATCAGCTTCATCTGCATGTAATTCACCTCCCTGGTTATGCTCAACGATATTGGCTTACAGTTCAGTATTTGACTATGCAATCAGAATTCCACACTGAAAAACTTGGAAGTCAAAAAATGCATGCTTTTTCATTTGCCTATATTCTTAACCCAGTAGTGGAAAAGCAGACAAGCAGGTAAGGAAAACTTCCTTCAACCAGTGTAAACAGACATGTCAGGTCCTGAGGAAGTGGTTAAACGAACTGAGGGGGTGTGGTGTGTGTGTGCAAAACCAGTCAGATCACCATCATCTATAGCATCTATATACAAAGACATATAAGACATAGACAGCATGCTGTGTTGCTTCTTTTATATGGCAAGTCACTTCGCACTACCTATCACCCACATAGATACTCAGCTCTCAGGCTACAGTAGGGCCATATTTTTTGGTAATTTAGTCTTTCTACATGTCAAGTCAAACCCTAGGTCAAGAAATGTCAGCAGTTGATCTTCCTGCTTATACCACATAAATCACATCCTACCCGATTAAAAAAAAAAAAAAAAAAAAAAAGGAAAGAAAAAATGAAAGTACTGCACATCAGTAGCAAGCTTATTTTACTGAACAATCGTGGCCAAAAGCATTTTTTAAAAAAATTATTCCCTCTGTTTCTTCTTTACATTCTAAAAACAATTTCTAGTGGTTTGGCTACTTTGATAACTAATTAGTATCCAAATTTAAATACATACACACACACACATATATACTTACATATTTTAAAATCAAATGCTTTCTAGCCCTCACAGGAAAACAGATATTTTCCTTATTATAGTAGTAGCATGTCAAGAACAAAAAAAAAAAAGTTACTGAATCTTTATCTTAGAGCGAGACACATAAATATGCATTTTCAGACAGCAGCCAGAAAAAAAACACAGCAAAGCCAACAGTGTAATGTAATTTTTAAACCCTTAAGGAAAGGAATCTTCTTGAGTCAGCAATCAATCGTAGGTCAAAACATTCAAGCTGGAAATAGGAGGGAAAAGAGGAGAAAGACATCAAGAAGGCCTCTTGCTTTCTTTACATCTACTTATTTGTAGACCCCACTATTTCATTCCTACCTCCCCAACACTAGCAAAAGACACATTACTAGCCATCCCTGTGAACAAAAAAGAAAGAAAATAAATGTTCAGTAAACAAAAACATTACCAAATGAAAAATTTATGAACTGAAGGTTAAAAAAAATATTTTAGAAATGGTCATGGCTATCTTGAGAAAATACACCTGTATTTTGATGCGGACAAGCAGACGCTCACATTCACACAGAATCCTAAATGATATACCTACGAATTACCTTGAAAAATCAGTATCTGCCTGTTTGGTATTGATAAGGACCTCCAATCTCCACCCCCAAGCCTGATAGCACCTTGTCACCTTAAAGTTAAAAAGCTGTTTGCTCCCAGGATTGGGGGGTTGGGCTAATTTCCAGAAGAAT